CATATGTTTAGGTTTTATTACAGTTCTAATCATTGCTTTTTAAAGCAATAAACATTGCTGAAGAGTGAAGGTAGTTATACTAATAGTGGTGTCAATGGAAAAACCATCATTTTGGCACACTATCTTTTTGTGGGCATGAAGATCCAAGTTTTCTGGACTTTTATTTTAATTTGTTTTAAATTTCTGTAAGAAATACTTACAAACATTCATATTACTGTAAAAAGAATAAACATTTTAATTTTAATGAAATCCCTAACACACTGAGTATTATACCATTAGTATGTGTTAGAAATATTTTGTATTCCTTATATACATGTTACACACACCTCCTATATTACTGCTTATAAAATAACAGCTGTCATGAAAATGGATGTAAGCAAGTAGCAAAAATGTCGGTCACCTGATTAAAATTGATACTTTTATAGGACACAACTTATCCAGTAAAACATTATCAATAAAGTTGATATTGATTCTAACAATTCACTAAATTGTAATTGCACATGTATAACCAACATCTAAATCCACTACACCACCATGCCTAAGGACATCAGTGCTGTATTTTAAGAGCCTTTATTTTCTATAACAGCCTAAAATGAGAACAATAGTATGAAATAATTAAAGTATATTGACAATTACTCATCAGAAAAATGAAATACTATATTACTGAAAAAGCGATAAAACTCCGCTATGATCACCAAATCTTTAAACTATTGAATGTAAAGGCTCTAAAAGCACACAACTAGTGTCTTTCATTGACGGAGTGGATACCGAAGTTGGTTATACATGTGTTACTATCATCTAGTGGTTATGAGTTCCTCTATAGATCAGGTAGTGAAATACTGGTTCAGCAGGAACAGATAATAACTGGCATCACAGAGACAAAATAACACAATAATCAACAGATTTTCCATTTCAGCACCACCCACTTAGACACCTGATAATGTCTGGAGGGGCTTTGGTTGAAATGTTGTCTATAAATAACATCTATAATTATTAAGATGAGAACAAGTTTGAATAAATTAAAAAGTAAACTTTTGTCATATTGGATTATGAAAATAATAGTTTTTTGTTTGTTTTTAATCAATTCACCCCAAGCAAGGTGATAATACCATTAAGATGCAAGGAGCTGCTGAAAGTGAAAGAGAATGAAAACACTTCAGAAGGAACTGGAAACCCAGTCCTTAACCCTTTGCCTGTCCAGAGAATTTTTGTGTGTACTATTCAAACATTCATGATTGTTTTCAGATTTATAACTATTGCAAGGCAACTAATCTTATTTGGCAACTAGAATGTGATGATATATAGTGTTTCACATAATAAAAAACATACAAATCATAAGTTATTTACACTACTCTCTGGGCATCACATGTGATGCACAGGTTTTTACTATGTGAAACACTATATATCTGCACATTCTATTTTCCAAATAAGCTGAGTTGTCTTGCATTAGTTATAAATATGAAAACAGACAAGCACCCTGTGGTCATATATGATACACAAAATATTAGATTAGGCCTTTCCTTAGATGTTCTGCTCAATAGAAGACTCTTTTCTTAAGCATCCTTAGTTTTGCCACTCTTTAAAAATCATGGCTTCTGTCCCTCACATATGATGCACAGACATGGAAATCACATGTCCTGTGCATCACACATGATGCACAGGACAGGTAAAAGGGTTAAACAGAGAACAAGGGAAACACATTTTCCCCTAAAATAATTATAATATTTTTTAATTGAACATATTTCATAAATGTAAAATCTCCATTTAATAAGAATGAATTAAACCTGTTTTTATGATGAAAATGTGAACATTTGGTGTTGATAAAGGGTTTGAATTGTTTTTACTCTTATTTCACCTTCAAGATATTATACCAGTTAATTTCATACATTTTTTTCCCACATGATTTGAATATGCTCAAAATCTGACTGGTGAATGAAGATTATCATACATCACTGATTTGCAGCCAAACTCTATCAATAATTAGGTATTTCCTTATTAATCTTACCATCTCTCTGTTAAAAGACAGAACTGATTGTAATCAATACATTTATTCTTGCCAAATTATAAAAGCCAAAGGTTACTGTTCGAAGTTTAAACTTAGAACACATAATGAACCAAGTTGTATAAATCAACTTCTTACTATTTTTGTGTAATGTACATTTTGAGATGTGTTGATAGTGCAACACCTATTGGCACAGAAAAGAAATTGGCAAGCTGATTTCAAATTTCCACCTAATCTATTGCATTCACTTTCACACAGATATTCTTGGAAAAGGTGTGAATCCATCTTTTAGCAATGAATTGAATAGCAATGTACACTGGGCACTTGAGCCTTGTGTGGCAACCAACCCAACAGAAAGAAAACTGAATTCCAAACCAAATTTCACTGGGCAACCACTCCACCATCTTTTCAAAGAAATCATGACACTTCAAAGAAAATAAACGAAAGGAATCTGTGGAGTGCTATTATTGCCTTCATCCTGAAGGGACATATATTAAAAAAAAAAAACAAAAAAAAAAAATGAACATTGTGATTGTGGAATAGATTCAAAAAATAATTTATTGTTATGGCCACAATCTATTTTATTCACCTTTATTTCTAATATGCATACTTTTTAAAGGTGGGTTTCAGATTATCCAGTAAATTCTTATGATTTTTAAAGTATGATAGCACAAAAGGGTCTTCACAAATAGTACTGTTAAATATTTTCTAATATACCTGTACATTTTTAGCATAGAAACTGATGAAATTAAAATATAGTTTGTAATGAAAATAAGAATTGCGCATGCAAATAATTTTGTCTTTGAATGCCTAATTTTCTATGAAATGTATAAAATAAGAATCTGCAATGTTATCTGTCTTGACCTGGTATCTCAGCTTCAGTCCCTTTCACATCATCATAACAGCTTCTCTGCCTTTTCTATAAATATTTTCATTGTAATTGTTCTGATGAAATTTTATGTTTTTCTTTAAAAAATACAAAAATATCTTATTTTAAGGTATCTTTTTAAAGAAATGCAGGGTAACTCCAAACTTTTATGTATGTAGTGTATATAAAATCATAAAATCTCTGAATACTCATCAAGTTAAAGGTCAGTCATTATCTATCCTCCTTATCTTCCTAATATTCACTTGCTACTATTTCCTTATACATTTTTATCATGCACTTCATTCAATAACCTCCTACCCTGAGTTGTTTTTGAACCTTGTGTTTCTTGGGTGAACTTTAGTTAAAAAATAAAAAATTATTATATAAAATAATTCTTTTAATCATGGGGCTGTGAAGTTATTGATATATTAATGTAAAAAAATGAGTCTGAGTCAGCTTCTATATTCTGCTTCCCTTCAGGATGTGGGCAATCATGGCTCTCCACAACTGTCTATTCTTTGTATCTCTGATTAATGTCTATCTTTATGCCATCCTCCTACTTTCCTTTCTGCCATCCATTCAGACAAGTTCATCAGGTAGTTGGCCTGCCGCCTCCACCTGCCCCTTTTGCTTTTGATATGTCCTGTGAGGATCAAATTTTCCAAACCTTCTTTCCTCATGACACTTAGAAAATACCAGGTGCTGTAAGCTTGGATATGTGAGTATTGTAATGGATAACAGCTTAGAGTTGTAAACTGGAAAGTTGAGTTCCAATTCCTGTTAGGTTTGTGAAATTAACTTGTATGCAAATATCCTTGGAAAAGTTATGGATCCATCTCTTCACCACCCCCACATCTATGAGTTAATTAGTAGGAATTGTATCACTAAATTATTATTATCACAAAAAAAAAAAAAAAAAATTATATACACAATATTTAGGTATTGGCACCCATAGAGATTAATATGCTGCTAAACAACTAATCAATCAATAGTATTGAAGCTGAACATCCTGTGTCCATTGATCTCACATGTATGTGCAACAATATTATGTTGCCTGCTGACCTCCAGTTTGGGTCAAATAATTGAAGATTCTCATGGTGCTAGCTGTGACAAGAATGGTGTTGTAGATGATACAAATGGAGGGGTCTTATAAACTGAACACTATTCTCATCAGGATGTGATTTGATTTGTTGGGGCATCAGCTCAAGAGTAAGATCATGACTGAAAGAAAGCAATTGGTTTTGACAGATTTCAGTCAAAGTTGGGTACATGTTGCAAGCTTAGTTTGCATGAATCAGTCCAAATCGCTCCTCAGGTCACAGAGCAGATACCTAGCAGATCCTACACCTGGTTAAGCTAGTCTCTTTTGTTCTTTTAGTGAATTTGAGTGACTATCATTTCTTAGCCTCTTCTAATGGTCCTTTTCAAGATTTCCTATCCCCAGTTTTTATTGAAGCTTTTTATCTTGATAGGACCAGCCTTTTACATTTTCCCACTCCCAAATTGTTTTGCCCCTCCTCTGTGAGCTACTTGATTCTGTCTGTCGACACAATACAGCAGTCACTTTCATTTTTTGTGGGTTAGATGGTATCTTACTAATATAAATTTAATTTCTTTTAAATGTTTTGTTGATATTTTATTTGATTAGATGGGTTATATTCCTCCCCTTTCATACCATTGCAGTATTCCACTACACATCTCAAATTTTTTATATATTTTTGTAAAAAAAATAAAAAAATAATGTGTATATATATATATATATCGAGAAATTGTTACCATCAGGTGTGTATTATTTTGGTACGTATTTGAACTGAATGGCAAGGGATGAATTCTTGGGGTGATTGTATCAATTGTTAGAATGAATGGGTTATGAATTGAACTAGCTACCAGTAGAATAGTTAATGATGATGAGCGTTTTCCTCCCTCTCTTTTGGCCTTGTGCCACAAGTAAATGTATTTTTGCTGAATAAACAGTTCTTATCTGCTGGGGAGGTTATATCAATTGTGGCTTCTATTCCTGTTTTACTTACTTGAAACTTTTACAGTTTTCTTTCTTTCTATTTTGTATTTCTGCATTTTTAATATTCACTCTTAGTCTCCATCCTTTTATTTCTCAATCATTTGCTCTTTATGATTCTCTCTTTTTCTTACTCTTTCTCTTCTTTATTCGTATACTCTTTTTCTCAACCTTTCTCTTTCTCTCCTTTATTTATTCCTATTCTTTTTTCACACACTTTCTCTTTTTCTTCTTTATTTATTCCTATTCTTTTTTCTCACCCTTTCTCTTTTTCTTCTTTATTTATTCCTATTCTTTTTTCTCACCCTTTCTCTTTTTCTTCTTTATTTATTCCTATTCTTTTTTCTCACCCTTTCTCTTTTTCTTCTTTATTTATTCCTATACTCTTTTTCTCACCCTTTCTCTTTTCTTCTTTATTTATTCCTATACTCTTTTTTCTCACCCTTTCTCTTTTTTCTTCTTTATTTATTCCTATACTCTTTTTTCTCACCCTTTTCTTTTTTCTTCTTTATTTATTCCTATACTTTTTTCTCACCCTTTCTCTTTTTCTTCTTTATTTATTCCTATTCTTTTTTCTCACCCTTTCTCTTTTTCTTCTTTATTTATTCCTATTCTTTTTTCTCACCCTTTCTCTTTTTCTTCTTTATTTATTCCTATACTCTTTTTCTCACCCTTTCTCTTTTTCTTCTTTATTTATTCCTATACTCTTTTTCTCACCCTTTCTCTTTTTCTTCTTTATTTATTCCTATACTCTTTTTCTCACCCTTTCTCTTTTTCTTCTTTATTTATTCCTATACTCTTTTTCTCACCCTTTCTCTTTTTCTTCTTTATTTATTCCTATTCTTTTTTCTCACCCTTTCTCTTTTTCTTCTTTATTTATTACTATACTATTTTTCTTATTTTCTGTTCTTTTTTGTCCTGTTGATATTTTTTCTGTTTTTTTTCTTTATAAATTCTCCAACTCTATTTGTATCCTTCAAAAATGAAACATTTTTAATTACCCAATTCCGTTGTTTTTATTTCCTTTTTCTTTTCCCTATTTGTTCTTCTATCTTTCCTTTCAACTCACTTTTCAAATCGACTTTTCATTCCTAGCCCACTTTTTCTTTTCCTTATACATTAATTTCCAATTCTCTTGGTCTTTTTTTGATGAGATAATATGATTATTGATTATTGAATATATTTTTTTCTTTTCAGTTGGGATACCCAGGGTGATTTTACCACACCTCACCCACTGCCTGTTGTCAAAGTAAAATTGTATACAGAAAGCTCCAAAGTGCTGAGTTTAGAAGACCGAGAACTAGGCAAAGTAAGACTCTATTACTTTCTTTTGTATTTTTCACTTTTTATTACATGTTCAATATAAATATATAGGATTTATAAAGTCTATGTTAAATCTTGTGAATATTCTTGATCTTACTACTATTAGATTTATTTTTATGAATTCATATAGAAATATTAAAATAAAATTATTTTTTGTGCTGTGGCTCTAGATATCTTGAATGTGTTCAACAAGGTTTGGCATGTTGGCCTTCTCTACAAGGGCTATAGTATCCCTGGATGAATATTTGGCTTAATCCAATTGTTTCTAAGAAATCATATTGTGTTGTGTTGAACAGACACACTTCTAGTTCATTTCAAATTAATGTAGGTGTCTCCTAGGGCTCTATTCTTAGACCTATGTTGTTAGTTAGCTTCATCAATGACCTTCCCAATGTCATCATTTCCCAACAAAGGATTTATGCTGATGACACAGTAATTTATTACTGTTTTAGTAGAAAATCCAACAGATTCAACAAAGCAAAACTGGCAACTGTTCTTGAAAAGTACATCCAATCAGTGGTTAACTGGGGCAAGAAATGGCTTGTAAATTTTAACATCTTCAAAACAAAACTACTTTCATTTAATCCCCACTTGGGGATTAAATGATTAAAAAAAAAAAATTGATTTATTGAAATTTTTCTAAATCCTTATAAGTGTCATTAAATCCCTGGAAATAGATTTCTTTGCTATTCAAATTCATATTTAAAGCAGAAAATTTCTCATCTAATTGATTTAATTTCTGTTTGAATTCATGGGATGAGGATTTATTATTATTTACACTATTTACACTTTGATTATTGGAGCAGAGAGTGCAGACTCCATGGAAACAGGGTCAGCAATAACTAAACAGTACTAAATAAGAACAAGATGAGATATTCCTAGACAGGTATAGCAAAACGAGAACAATTTACCCCATTGATTAAATAAAGGATGCAGTTTGAAATTTTCTGAAGGTTACTTGGGTCAACAAACACCTGATGAAGGCTAGATGACATAATGACTGAAACATTGTGATAATAATGACAAAGATGAAGACTAATTGACTTAATTATTACTAAGTTTTTTTTAACTAAGTTTTGGTGTACTGTATAAATTTTGAAAGTAAAATAAAATTACATTAATATTATCATTGTTATTAAGATGTTCTGATAGATAATCTAGATCTTAATGGAAATCTATGCAAGAAAGAAATATATCCAATTACCATTTCCCCATTATGGGGATTATTATATACATGATATAGTAACATCTTAATCCATGGCTGGAAAAGAATAGTTGAAAAAAAAAAGAATGACAAACATAAATTGTTCTCAAAGAGATTTTTATACTTCTAAGTCATGCATGAAATTATATACAAATATTTACATGTAATCCACATAGAAAAACTATAACCCATGTATACAACAAGAATCAATGTGTAGGAGACATAGTCTTACTTGTAATAATTCTTAACAGGAATTCAAAATGCTGGAGGATTCTTCTATATTTCTGGTGAAGTCATAATTTTCACAATGGGGGGAAAAAGGCAAGGTCATGTGGTGTAGGTCATATTTATATTTCCCAATGGGAATTAGAGCAGGTTGGATTTATTTCTATGTCTTTGCTGAGGACATTTCTCAATAGGGAAAATGGCAAGTCATGTGTATTTCCCAACAGGAAAACTGCAAACTGGAAGTATTTTCTATTTTTCTATTTATTTCCCAATGAGAAAATGGCACAATGGGCTTATGTGCTACCCTATGGGCAGCTGGTCAGGCAGGCCATTTTACCATGCCCGTGTTTGGCTTCAGGCAGCTAACAAACAACTGACCACTTTCATCACTCCATGAACTGATGTAGTTCAACAGCCATCATGTAGCTCTCAAGAATTCATCTCAACCAAAGGGAGATAATTGCCTTTTTCAGTCTTGATTTTCTTATTTTTTTTCCTCTTAGTGTCCAGTTTCCTTTTCTACTATTGAGCAAATCTATAGCAAAAGCAGCTTTTTCTTATTTACTAGCTGAAAACCTGCCCTATGAGCAGGATTTTAAACTTTGGACCCAATAAGAGATCATGCAGTTGAACTATATATTTACTGAATTGTATATTAAAATTACTTACTTAAAATTAGTCACTTTTAAAGTCTCTTAAATTTAAATATCTGAGGTTAGTTCTAAAAAGGATTTTAAGAACCTGACTGACTATGAATTTATCTGTTGAACTTTTTATTACATTTTTTAAATGCAGGCTTAGCATCAAACTCTTTTCTGTGAAGATACCTCCTGATGCCAATTTTTCACACTACAAATATCAATACAGAAACAATTTTCTCAAATATTGATTTTCTAATGACTTTGATTTCTGGTTAGGAAATTTCCTGCTAGGTATTTTTACTATACATTTATGCAAAAAGATAAAAATTTGGTTTAGCTAATCTGACAGACATAAAGCAAGGGTTGGTTTTAGCATGATACTTACATTGTAAATTGGTTAAAAAGTTGGTTTTGGAATTTTCAAAAAATTAAATTTTTAAAGCATGTTCTTGAGGCCTATTAGTAATTGCAGAAAATTTGGTGGATATAGATCAAACTGTCCTTGAGTTATGTGACGAGACAGAAGCATAAGAAAAATAACATTTTGGGAATTATTTACACTTATATATATTGTGGATTCTTACCCTCCTCTTATAAAGTTGTCTAAAGATCATTTGACCATAAAACTCTGGTTACAGCTAGGGCCATCCTTTCATCAGAATTAATGTTGTCAGGCGTTTTCTGCTCTGTCTAGGCAACTTAGTCTTTGAGCACTTAGTAGGTAAGTTTGCCTTTAGGCCTTTTTTTTTTTTCAGTATTGTTGTTTTTGTTTGAGACTTTATCTGGATAAGGGTTTTAGGTCTGTTGGTTCTATCATCGATTTTGTTTTTTCTTTAATATATATATATATATGCGCACACACACATACCTTGTTATCTATACCACTCAAAAAAGGCTTTGTCCAAGAACTTATAATTTTCTGCTTTTATCTTGATGTTGAAGGATTATTTACACTATTTACATTTGGACTATTGTTCTCATCTTTGTTGTTGTTATCACGTTTCAGTTGTTATGTCCTCCGATCTTCATCAGGTGTATATTGATTTGGGTGACCTAAAGGGGTCCTACGAGACAATAGCTTAGTTGATTAAAGTATTAGTTCATGAATTTGGTTACATAGTAATTGTGAGTTCGATCCCTGGAACGGGTAGTTTATACATGGACTCAGTGGAAACAGGCAAGCAATAACTGAGCAGTACTAAAAGCAGAATGAGGTGAGATAACCCCAGACATGCACAGCGGAACAAGAAAAATCCATTCCTGTCAATTAAATTAAAATTACCCAAATAAACAGACATCTGAAGAAGGTCAAAGAGCACACCAGCTGAAATGTTGTCATGACGACAACAAAGATGAAAACATGTCTAACTGTAAATAAGACTTATCAATTTAATTCTGGATTAAGGGTAATGAAATAAAGTAAAAGAAAAAAATAAAAGAAAAAGATGGACTAACTTTGACATTGAATGAACTAGCAAGATTTGAAATGTTATTAAATCAGCTAATCTAGCATAATCCATTTATAGAATTCATTGCGAATTGCAAATCAGAGATTGCAACATCAAACATGTGCAGAAATTTAAATGTGCTTTAACAGAGGATGGAAGGCATGACACTGAGGTCTGAGGTGAATTGGGATAGCCAAAGATGCATTTGAAAAGCTAAGCAGAGTACTAAGCAATAGAAAAACTTTGTTAAAAACAAGGAAATGAGTATTAAACTGTTGTAAGATATCTGTCCTCTTGCTGGGCAATCTCCTCAAAGATGAAGAAGAGACTTGAAGCAACAAATATATTTCTACAGAAGGATGCTAAGGACACCATGGACCGAACATGTAAGCAACAACAAAGAGAAAATGGAAACAAAAAGAAAACTTATACTTAACATCAGGAAGAGACAGTTGTGGTTTCTGGAGCACATAATGAGGAAAGAGGACTTAGAAAATCTGATACTCACAGGACAGATTGAGAGCAAGAGTGACAGAGGAAAACAACACATAACATAATTAGTAAGCTTGAGTAAATGGATGACAGAACAGGGTTTAGGAGAAATAACAAAGATAAAATTTATTAAGAGCTGCAAAGAACAGGAAGTTGTGGAGAACCATGATCGCCAACGTCATGAGGAGACATGGCATATAAAGAAGAACAATATAATTATTTGCAAATGCTAATTATCACTAAACTTTATTATTATTAATGTATCATCACTGGTATGTATGCTCTTTTATTAGCTTTCCTGAAAGAAGTGTATGGACAGATCAGGGGAGACCACTCTGTAATTAACAGTTAATAAATTTACAGTTATATTCCTTTAAAAAACTACCTTTTTTTTTTCTTTGACAGTTTATAATTAAGAATTCAATTTACTTGTATACCAGTGGCCTGAATAGATTGAAAATTGCCTTATTCTCTAAGATAATATTGCATTCATAAAAATTACCATTTCTGTTGTGTTATAGCAAACAAACAGAAATCAGGTCATCATAAAAAATAATTTCTTAGTAAAAGTGAAAGCGAACCAATACCGGAAAGCATTTGCCTATCAAGTAGATTTTTGTTTCAAAATATGCAGCAATTCATCTTTTGTAATACATAAGTAAATATTATAATGCAGATGACATTTACTGAAACAGTTTTGACTGATTTAACAATGTCAACTTTTATATCAAGGAATTAAATATTTTTTAATGAGTGTATATTGACATTTGTACAAACTGAATAGTTCTTCCTCTCCTGAAAAGTTTTCTGCCCGAATAAAACTACTCAAGAACAGATACTAAATACTTTGAACCCCTACCAGTCTCGGATACAATATAGATTAATATATGATTATCTCAAAATTACTGTCTGGATTTCTGAGATGAGGAATTATCATTATTTACGTGTGGACTATTGTTCTCATCTTTGTTGTTGTTGTTAGTTATCACAATGTTTCAACTGTTCCTCTGGCCTTCATCAGGTACCTATTGATCAAGATAATTTCTGAAAATTTTAGACTGAATTTTCAACGACTGGGGTAGATTTTTTCTCATTCCACTGACCATGTCTAGGGATATTTCATCTAATTCTTATTTAGTACTGCTTAGTTATTGCTTGCCCCATTTCTACTGTGTCTAAATACACACTGCTCAGTCAAGCGATTGAACTCATAATTCATGAACCGATGCTTTAATCCACTTGTCTATTGTCGTGTAGGATGATTCTGAGTAGAGATCTTCAAATTTTAAATCTAGCTTTATTTTTTTATATATTTTTAAGTACATGCGATATATAATCAGACTTTTGTCTCTATAAAATCGAATGAAACTTTGCAGATTAAAATTTTTCCATATGTTTACTATTATCTGTCATTTCTATTTTTTTATTTTTTTTAATTGATATCACCCCATGCAAGGCAGTAAAACCACTAAGACAAAAGGGGTTACAGAGTGTGGAAGAATTAGAAGCAGAAACATTAATAATGAGCGAGAAGAGGAAAGAGTAATCAGCAGAACAGTAGATAGCAATTGACATCGCATTTAAATTTTTGCAGATTAAAGTTGGTTAGAAAGCATGAAGCCAGAAGGGAGCTCCACAAGTGAGAAGTATGAGAAAATAAACTGTTAGCATAGAACTTATGGTTACATCTAGTCAACTCAACTGTAAATTGATTAGATCTTGAAGCCAACCTTGTACTGTGGTTAAATTCAAAAAGTCCAGGTACCATAGTGAAGAGCTCATCTGAAGAATTATCATGAAAGTATTTATAGAAAAAACACAGAGTATTCTGTTCATAGCGTAAGTCCTATATAACCTTTCTGACCATGAGACCCAGGTTCGAATCTCACCATAGTCAATTTGTCAGGAAGGAGACTTCCTGATGTTTTCAGTCTGGAGGTGGGAGAGGTTGATCCCAGCATGCAGCACCTTTGGAAAGTACCTGAAAACCATACCACTGGTTGACTCAAGTCTTGTGAGTGAAATTGGGTACACAGAACACTTGGGGGCCATTGATAGCTATGTTAGCATGAAGTCACAAGTCATCATGATTGAGGGATTAAGTGTGCTGGTGTTGTTCAGATTGTTGATTGTTCTAGATAACATGCTTTTCTCCCAGAAACTGTAACTTAGGTCTGCTCAGCATAGTTGCAGTATAAACCACACGTGGGCTCTGTAGGTTTTGAATAAAAGCACAAATGTGCCTGAGCAATAGGGATTGGCTAGCCACCCTAGTAGACGGTATCCTTGAATACGAGTGGCCAGCTATTATTATTATTATATAATCATGTATAAAATCTGCATCCATATCTTCTTCCTAGGGGCAACTATTATCTGCATTAAAGTAAGAAAAACAACCTTTCCTAATAAACTTGTGAAAGTTTTAATGATTTTTTTTAATGATTTTTCTCTGATAATGCTTTTTTTTAAATGTGAAAATTTTCACATTTCAGTCCCATGATTGTCACAATAATTTATTTTCAGTGTTTTATTTTCATTAATATTCCTTTTATTATAAAAAAAAACACATTTAAAATAAATAAAAGATTTAGAGAAGGAACAGTGCTATTATAGTATGATATCTACTGAGGCATTTGCGACCTACCATAAATGACAATGCACTCATTATTGCTTTAAAATGCTCAGAAAAGACGATGACCTGTTTACTATTCTTTTAAAATGACATCCAATTAGTTTACCGACATTAAAATCACTATTGATAATTTTAATTTTTTTGTATAAAAATTAGTTAATGAACATAATCAATTCACCATTCACTGCCCTTAACCCTAATCCTAACCCTAACATATTTCGTACTTCCAACAGTTGGTAAATATCATACCATATTTGAAAATGAATAGTAGGTATCATACTATATTAGAAAATGGATAGTAGATATCATACTACAGTAGCACTGAAGGAATAATTTACTTAAGTAACAGATGAAGGTTATTTCTGTCTGAATTTCAGGAAGGAGTTGTTATCATTTATATATATTTTGTGAATTTCTGTATGTTTGTATTTATTACAAATTTCTAGACTTACACTATTTACTGTTGTCTTCATCTTTATTGTCATATTTGGCCATTCTTCAGGTGATATACGTTGGAATTTCAAACCGAACACACCAGGGTAGATTGTCCTAGTTCCACATGTCATACATTTGCTGGATCTCTCACATTCAGTTATTTCCCTTTAGTAACTCAACTCTTTTGGTTCATCTCTGCTGTGGCCAAGTCACTGACTGACTGACTGATGCGGCATTCACCCTGGGCGGATTGAGCCGGCTTCTTCCTGTTATGAGAAGAAGATTCTTGGGATAAATTACAGAAGTAGGGTATCCAGGCCTACTCGAATAACGTTCTTGCTTGCCGCGGGATTCCCACAGACGCAGAGACAGGAACGACCAGAAGCTGCCGGTTACCGATGCAGATGCTCCTTGGATTTTCACCAGAGCCCTTGTTAGCCGGCGTGTGTGTCAGACCTGTCTGCCTTGGGTGGCCCTACCAGGAACGAAGTTCCGGGCGGCATAGCTCTGACACTATCGTTTACCCCCCCCCCCACCGACTGTGAGGTAAGGGTTGAACTTTGGGGGCTTACAGTACCAGGTGTTCCCAAGCGGTCCCCCATCTAAGTACTGACCTGGCTCTACGATGCTTAACTTCGGTGATCGAACGAGAACCGGTGTTTCAGCGTGATTTAACCGTAAGCGGCCAAGTCACTGGATTACTTCAACCAGTGCCTTTTCTCATCTGGGCCATATGTCCTTGGAGATATCAGTTTGTGAATTTTGGGGACTTATAAAAAGCCGAAACACTGAGAATATGACAATAAAGATGAGGACAACATTCCAAACAATGTAAATAGTATAAATAGTTACAATACCTCAGCTGAGTAATATAAACTGTGAATATGGCAATAAAGATGAGGAGAACAGTCTGAACAATGTAAATAGTGTAAATAGTTACAATACCTCATCTCAGAAATATAGACTGTGAATATGGCAATAAAGATGAGGAGAACAGTCTGAACAATGTAAATAGTTACAATACCGCATCTCAGAAATATAGACAAATTTCTAGATGTTTGTAAGACAACAAAAATTGAAATAATGCCACTAAGATGCAAGATGTTAATTCGAGTAAAACAAAATGAGGAGAAAAGACAATAAAAAAAACAGGATTTAGAAAAAAAATATTGTCCTTTCTCCTCATTAATGTTTTCTCATTTTCTTTTACTCTCAGTAATCCCTTTGTATCTTAGTGGCATTATTGCCATGCTTCAAGTAAAATGAATTAAAAAATGCAATCCTAACATTTCAAAGTTGACATTTCATTTCAACTTAGAGAATAATGCAATTCTCAATCAAATCAAGCCACTTGTATGCAAGTAAATTTTAAGCCTTAATTAATGACAATATCTTCTTCAGGTGTCCATTGATTGGGTTAACCTCTGGGGAAATTTCAATATGATCACTTTATTTAGATTAAAATAACAACAATAATGTTATAATATCAACAAAGAGAAAGACATTAATCCAAATAAAAATAAAGAAAGTTGTTAATATTCACATAGGTATAAATATTTCCTGCCTTTCAAAAATGGCATAAAAAGCAACTGTTTATTTGGAATTAGAGGAGGTTCAGATATTTCAATAAAGTTGTCTTATTTTTGAATTAACAAGTTGATTGGTCAGTTGCTTGCTTAACATTGATTTTTTCTTTGCACTCTATAGCCATCTGTTTCCTGTTAAAGAAAAAAGAAGAAATATCAGTTTACCAATCAATGCAACAATTCCTTAAGCCATGCTCTGAGCTCACTGTTCCATTGATAGGATCAATTCAGTTAACACCCTCTTATTGTCATTAAGTATTCAATCATTCAAAGGATCTTTGTCTTTCATTTTTTTCTCTTCTTTCATAGCTACTTTTTATCTTATTAATTCTTTATTGCATTTCTTTTCACTTTATCATTATTTCCATTTCTCTTTCTTCTAAGCAATTCTTTACTTCCCCCCCTTTCATTTTCCCCTTCACTTTCACTTTTCTTTCCATTTTCTTTTCCTTTTTTTCCTTTTCCTTCCTTTTCCCATTCCCTCCTTTTCTCCTTTTCTTTCCTTTTCTCCTTTTCTTTCCTTTTCCCCTTTTCTTTCCTTTTCCCCTTTTCTTTCTCTTTTTTTCTCTTTTCCCCTTTTCTTTCCTTTTTACCCTGTTCTTTCCTTTTTACCCTGTTCTTTCCTTTTTCCCCTTTTCTTTCCTTTTTCCCCTTTTCTTTCCCATTATCTTACTCTTTTTTTTCTCTATTTTACCCATTTTCTTTTTTCCCTTATAATTCTTCTACTTAAATTTTTTTCTATTTTTGACCTTTTTTCTTCTTTTCTCTTCTCACATTATTTTTGCCATTTTTCACATCTTTACTTGTAACTTTTTCATTTTTCCTCTTCCATCTCCAGTTTTCTCCCTATTTCACCAGGTCTTTCTCTTTTTTGCCAAATTTTTCCATCTTTTCTCTTTTCTCTTTTTCTTTTCCTTTCTTAAGCTTTGTTTACTTTTTTCTTTAAGCCTCACTTTTTCTTATTTCTTGTTTTTTTTTCTTTTATTCTTTGCTTTTTGTCATTTGGATGTTTTTTCTTTATTCCTCAACTCAAATTTTAAAACATTATAAAATCATTGGTTAAACTATGTAACAATTCAAAAATGAATCAAAAGTTGGTATATGAGTTCTAAAACTGTTTAGGGTCATAAGACCTGTATTTTCTTGATGTAAAATTGTTCTTGTCTTGCATTATGGTTCACACATAACTTCAGAATAGTTAATGAAGCTGTTAATTCATGTATATTGAAGATTTTACCAAAACGAAACTGACTTTCTCTTTGCAGGTCGTAATACGGCCAACTGCAAGCAGCAGCCGGCAACCAGAATGGTACCAAATGGTTACTGTAAAGAAAAATTGTCCTGATGATTTACGCATTAAGATTGCTGTTCGAATGGACAAACCACAAAACATGAAACATTGCGGGTTGGTTATTTTCTTACAAATGCACAAGTGTTCAAAATCTTATAATAAATGTACCTGTTGTGCAAAGTTTTTTATTTTATTTTATTCCACCATATAAAAAAATAAATGTAAATAATAATTAGATTTATTTGAAGCAAAACTTTGAACTTCATACATTTATATTTGATAGTTTTAGTTAATTCTTTACTGACTCCTTGAAGAACTTGTTGAACCACAACTGCACAATGCTTTGTGTCACACTGCTAAGGTTTCGGTAGTAAGTAGGTTTTTATGGAGTAGTTGTGTTTGTCTTGTCCACCCAACCCACCTTCTTTCCCCAATTTGGGGAATGTTCAGAATTCTTTGTATAGACTAATTGCTACCCAAGATCCCAGTCTACCTTTTTATTTTTACTTATAGATTAGGACAAGAAGAAGCGAATTCCTGTCTTTCCCATGAAAGTAAAAGAAGTTGCTTCCTTAACCTTTTGACTTCATTTATCAAGCAAATAGCAACTACAGGTGATTGATCACTAACTGATAGTATGTTTGAATTCAGTAGCGGTGTTGTCATGTCCTGCTATGGCAGCAGAAAATAATGTTGACTAAAATTGATAACAGAGCTACTGCTGAGGAGAGTGCATGAAAAAGAATGTAATGAGGAAGCAATACATTTGAATAATTCTAACTGCTACAGAATAAAGCTTTAAAAATGATGTTTGTTTATTTTGCTTCTTAGATTCCAGATTGATTTATTTGATAGCAGGCTTCAGCTTAGAATTGTCTTTTAAATTCAATAATAACCAGTACACAAGTTTTAAGTACTTTTAATGCTTTCTAAACTATTATCATTTATATTGCTAATAAACTTTAAAATCCTTTGTATTCTTTCTTTTTTCAAGGTATCTGTTTGCATTGGGGAAAACAGTTTGGAAAAAAAGCAAAAAGAGATACTTTGTTTTAGTTCAGGTAGTGTATCATTTGTTATTATCTATATACCTGTAGATTATTATTTTTTTTTTGTTTTACTTTTTTCCTGATATAAGTCAATTTTGATTTGAGGAAGGAAAATTTATAATCTAATTCATGCATTGGTCAACCCATATTTTTCAAATTTATTTTTTTTAAAAATAGTATAAAAAGAAATTTCACATTATTCTATTTGTATTAGAATTCTCATTTTTATTGTTTTTATAACAAAAATTTATGATTTTTTGGTTTTCTTTATGTGTATAATGGCCAACACATTCTACAGCCATCATTATCATTTCAATAGTTATTCAGACAACTGAACTCATTCCTTGTGTCGTTTATGTTGACCAACACATTCTACAGCCTTCTATAATTGTGCAATGCATATGGAAGATACTGTCTTTGATAATTTTAAGAAGGGTCATTATCAGAAATTAATATGGCTGCTCAATTACAAAATGAAATAAAAAAAATCACAAGTCCACACTCAAAGATCCAGGAACAGAAAGAAATGTTGAAATCCTGAATTGCAGGTGAAATGTAAAAAAATCCCAATACACGTAAACAGTTAGAAATCCAATGCACAAAGCAACAATTACTCGCAAGCTTATGGACGAGGTAGAAAAATAAACTACTCATCAATTTGAGAACACCAACCACTTTTATCGTCAAAAAATTTTTTTTATTGGTCAATGGTTGGAGAAGACAAACAATATTAGCATATTTGAGATGCATTCATGGCAACAGCTGCCATTGACTTGTTTCTATTTTGTTTATTTTGTTTTTGGCATATAGTACAGAACACATGTGCCCTTTTTCTTGGTATGTGACTTTCTCTTTCCTCACATATTCAGAGTATTATCATGACAACTGAACTTATTCTTTGTTGTTTCCATATTTTGACCAATCCATTCTACAGCCTTTTCCAGGTGGACATTGTCTATGGAAGATACTGTCTATAATTTAGGACAGGTCATTATCATTCCAATAGTTATTCAGATAGGGTCATTCTTTGTATATTTTTATGTCGTCTCCATGGTTTGGTCAGTCCTTTCTACATCCTTCTTTGGAAGTACTATCTGTGCAAGAAGAAAGCATCTGTTTTATGCTACTGGAAAAAAATCTTTCCCAATATATCTGAAGAAGGCAATGGAACAGATTATCTGAAATATTCTGTAATCAGAACAAACTAGAAAGAGTTTTATTGTTCAAACAACTATTTGAATGATAATGACTCTTCTGAAATTGATACATAGTGGCTTATTATCAGTTCTTTTTACATTTGAGGCATAGTCATGTAAATTCTGCTTTGTAGTTACATTAATTATTGTGATGCTTTTATTTTAAATTTTTTAGTAGCAAGAAAAATAAAACATGACAATTGTAAGCACTTCTGGTCCAACTAAAGAATGCTGGAAGCATAGATTGCGTGTTGGTTTAAATAAAATAGTTGTAGAGTTTATCACATCTCATGTTATCTTTGTATTGCTTCAACTTTTCAGTGACCAGTCTCACATAACTTATTTTCCCCCCACTCAAACCAAGTGGAACACTCTTACACAAGAACATCTTTGCAATCATTTGAGAATGTTAGAACATAATAGGAAAACTTATTTTAATGAAACCCTGGTTGTATGAAAAATAAAACTCACTGCTGTACAGTTATATAATTTTTAAATGGAAAAAATAGAGAAAGAAAAAACATTTCAATTATCATATTTAAAATACATACCGTATATTAATGTATATAAGATGACCTTTAAATCCCAAAAATCTCCTTTAAAAATTGGAGGTTATCTTATACTAAAATTCTAAAAAAGAAACCTTAAATTTTGAGTGATGTTTGTCAGTAGGCTAACCTTGGCCTCTGAGCAATGACCAATAATGTATATGAAAAGATTCACATTATTAGACTGATAATAAAAGTAATAAAATAATTTCTACATTATATATTAATGGCATAACTTCATAATAAATTGCCTACTTGAAGAATAATTCCATATCAATGAAATCAACTTGTATCCATGCAAGCTCAACTGAAAAAATGTAAACATCAAGGTATGATTGTGAATGAAAAAAAAAGGTTGAAAGAGTATATTATTGTACTGTTATTAACAGTATATTGTGATTGTTGATGAAGTATAAGTAAATGACCAATAGTATATCATACTGTTTGTAACTGTTTAGATATAGAAGAAGAATAATAATCAATATTTGTAAGAGATCATGGGAAGAAACAAACAAAACAATGGTTTCCCTTTTAGAGGATGTATGTATGTAGGAAAAACATGATATAGAATTGGTTTTGTTATTTTATTTATTTTGAATTTCGAAGGATACAGTAAGTAACATTTCCAATAACATCATCTTTATATAATCAATAAGCAGTCATCTGATACGGCAGGTACAATTCATGAAAATTGGCTATATTTTGTGACCTCATCTTATCTAAAGGTCACCTTATATGCAGAAATATATGGTAATTATATTTAATTACAATTGCCTAAGTCACAGACAATGAAATTTTTATTTTTTTCCTCTGCACATACATATGTAGCAGGATTGTTCAACTTTATGATTAAAGATGTTGCTGAAGGCCAGTTAACAACTTGAACAACAGAAAAAATTATCACTCAATTTAAAGATCTTATTAGTAACAGCAGGTCTCTTCTATAACAAAAAAAGTTTTCTACCTTGAGAATTCTGACAAAAGACATGAATTGATTTCATTTTACTAATGACTAGTTTAAAAACACAATACATAAGACACTTATCAAATTGTTATATTCTGCTGCAAATTAGATGTCTTTCTGATTCACTTTACATCTTGACCAAATGTGAGCGCTAAGAAAGCAAGAAAGTCATCTTCTGCACATAGGTTCTGAGCATCACATCCAGCCCACAAAACAAATCCTTTCTAAAATCTAAAATACAATATAAATGAAGCCAATCACAAACATTGTCACCAAAGAAAAAAGCTGTGTCGGGGAACCACCAGATTTGCTTAAAAGAAAGCCCTTCATAAATGACTGACACAGAATGTGGCCTGACAGGCCAGCTGTTGGCACCTGCAGGTTCTTGATGTCACCACTGTTATTTTGGTCAACCGACTTTCCAAAAACTCGTCCCATGCCCACAAACATTCTGCCTGCACACTCTGTATCAGCAAAATCATATTCCAGGCTTCGTCAAGCAACCTCATATTCCAGGACTAATCAAACAACCTCAGTCAACCAATTCAATAAACATATCAACTCCAGGCCGTACCAACAGCACCCTTACACAAAATCACTTCCCTTACCAATGTCAACTAAAGAATCATATCAACAATTGTGTTATCTTTTCACACTGCCTCACAAGCTGGTTATTGCTATTTGACCAGAATCCTACAGAGATATTGCCAATTGATCAAATTTTACTAATCCACTCCAGACCACTTTCATCACTACCACTGTGACCTTGGTTAACTGACCCACCAACATAGCAACTCCAGGCCTTACCAACCCTACCCACATTCAAAATTGACACACTTTGCTTGCATAAAGACATTCCACTTGCATCTGCTGTATTGGCAAATACAAAATAATTTTATATTTACAATTTTGTCTTCTTTTTCTTTCATTTCACCAGAGGTACTCTTATTTTGTTTGTTCACTCATGCTACCATACATATGTTTATAACAAAATGAAAATGTTTTTCTTAAATGGATATATCTTGAGAAATCTTCTTACAAATAAGCAAAGGGACCATTTTAGAAAATAATTTTAATATTTTTGCATTTTATTTCTTGGGAACCTTTTTAATTTTGCTTTATTTCATTGTATACTTTTGCTAGTTTAAAAGGTTTGAATTTAACTAAAGGCTTTTAGAATTAGTTTTATTTTGTGTCTGTTAAAGTTTCTACTTTTCTATTATAAGGTCTCGCAATACACATTTGCAATGTGCAGTTACCGTGAGAAAAAACCAGAACCGACTGAAATGATGCAACTTGATGGCTTTACTGTAGATTATACAGAGCCACACCCGGGTAAGTACCATTCCATTTTGGTTACCAATCTCTTGGTATGTCATATGTCAAAACTAGTATTATTTTTCATTATTGTTGTAAGCTTGCTATATTTTCGCAGTCATAAATCCTTCACACTGTACATATCATCTAAAAAGATGGTTTTTCTCTTGACAATGGTATAATTTTGTACTATCTTTGCTCCCTTATTCTTTTAAAAGGCAATGTTTAAAATTTTAATAATATCTAAACATATAAAAGTGAATTTATACATTTTCTTTGTTCTTTGAGAATTTTCAACAAAAATATTAAACACTACTTAATATATTAGATTGTTTATTTACAAGAATAATTTTATATTTACAACATTCTAAAAATATAAACCAAGGCAATTTTTATCACTTACCAATGCATAAAGAAATAAATATAACATTGTTTTTGTTAATAAGTTTATAAACATTTACAACTTCATAAAAATGTGAACTACAATGAAATCATTATTATTTACCATTTTATAAAATGGTAAATAATAATGATTTCATTGTAGTTCAATCAATTCAAACTTTATAAAGTTTGAATTGATTGGCAATTCCCTGATGTTTTCTAACCATTCCAAAGAACACTAAATAAATTTTTTGAGGAACTTTTGAATTAAAAGATATGTTTTCAAATTTATTTCTTTATAAAATGACAAATAATAAATCTTTTATAAAAGGATAAATAATAAATATCATATTGTACTTGGTTCACATATTTTTATGATCTTGTAAATAAACATGTCTGTGGGAGCCTCAGTTGGTTAAAATAATAGCTGTGTCAACAGAAAAACTGTCCTTTTGACAAACATTTTTTTGTGGGCACAGAGATCAAACATTGCCAAAAATCTCCATCATAAACAATAACTTTATTCAAATTGTGTATTGGGGAACTCATCAATATTTCCTTTTGTGCAAAATGAATACTATGTTGGATCTGAAGAGAGATCTGTAGCAAATGCACTGTAAAGGCAGGAGGGTTCGGGTGATGGTGAGCGCTAGTTTTTCTTTGGACTCTTTTCCTCTTTTCTATTTGTATTCTGTTTTTTTTTTTTTTATATGGATTGCTCTTCTCCAATTGGTTCTTTCTGTGGTTTCCATCTCTCAATTGACTGGATTGATTTCTGTCCTCAGCAAAGTGTTTTTGAGCTGGTCTTTGAATCAATGACATTTTATATACAGCATTATAATATACAAATATGTTACACAAAACTGTTATGCATAAACATATATTTATTACAATTTGTCCCACAAAGAATCCATTGTCCATTATTGTGCATATAAAAAAGTCCATTGTCCATTATAGTACATATAAAAAAAGCAAGTATCTTAAAGGACAAATATAAAACAGGTTTAACTGGAAATTTCTCTAAAAGAAACATAGCCAAGTCTAGAAATATTTTTTTATATTTCTTATTTAGGGTGTATGTCATTCACTTGTCTGCTGAGTTGCCACTGGCTACCATAACTATCTCTGTTGGGAGCTTATCGGCACAGATTGTTGTCACTCCTGGTTGACAGCTTAAGCTTCAGGGCTCTCTAGAACTAATTGAGTGATATTTATGCTATTTACATTATTCAGAATATTGTGTGCATGTTTAGTGTCATATTCACAACATTTCATCCCTTGTACGCTCTGGCCTTCTTCAGGTGATATACATTTTGTAATTTTGAACTGAACCCTTTATTTCATCCCCCGGGGTAGATTGTTCTAGATCCACATGCCATACTTTTTCTGGATATCTCAGTTTCAATTATTTCCCCAAGGACACATGACCCAGTGGATCAAAGCATTGGTCGAAGTAATCTAGTTTGGTTTGTTTTGTTTTACAGCATATCAACCTCAATGAGTTATTTAATGTTGACAAAATTTTTTATTGCTGGTAATATTTTGTTTTGTCAGAAATCTGTTTCTGGTAATATTTTTCCTTCAAAAATGTATTGCTGGTAATTTTTTTTTTTTTTTTTTTCAAAAAATTATTAATGATAATATTTTTTATTTATTTATTTTTTTCAAAAATGTATTGCTGGTAATAGTTAACTATTTGCCCATACCTGGGACCCTAACAGGTGCTACCACTACAAGTCAGGGCAGACCTGGGAATACCAGTAATTAAGAGGTGGTTCCATGCTCCTCAAAACCTCCTGATCAGAGGCCTTGCTACTGGACATAGTTTATCATCATACCCAGGACGCGGATGTAGTTTATCATCATACTCAGGACAGGAAGTAATCTAGTGACTTGACCCAAAGAGTTGTGTGTTCAATCCCTGGCCACAGCAGAGGTGAACAAAAACTTGGAGATTTGAGTTACTAAAGGGAAATAACTGAAACAGAGATATCCAGAAAAGGCAGGACATATGAGAATTGGAGCTACTGGAGATCCTTTTGTATTTCTGGAGAAGCTATATTTAGGATTCCAGATTCAAGTGGGCTGAATTTATCTGCTATCTCATTAGTGAGGACATATTCCTCTCAAACAGGAAATGGCGAGTCATTGGTTTTCCTCAACATGAGGACTGTGAGCCAGAGATAGTTTCTATAACTGGTGAAAATATATTTCCCAAAGGAAAACAACACCATAGACTTGCAAGCTCCACCATTGTTTGTGGTTGTGGCAGAAGTCCAGGCAGAATGAACAACTTGTGTGTCTTAACACCAGGCAGTTAACTGATAGACTGGCCATTTTTGTTGCTCTAAGAAGTGACATCACTAAATGGCTGTCACATGACCTATGTAACTTCGTCTCAACCGAAGGGAGATAATCGCCTTTTGCATCCCTACATAACATTAGTAAATTTGTTCTGTAAAAAGGGAAATAATTACTTTCTACATCTCTATAAGACCATATATGAAAAATCCAAGAGAAGATTTTACAAACTTGATAAAAAAGACAGTTCAGAAAAAAAATTGCTGTTTATGTTATCCATATATATCTGTAAGGTTTAGGTACCTAGAGGTGGTGTAATGGTTAGCAAGCTTGTCTCACTAGAACAATTTCGACTGGGTAGCGAGTTTGATCCTTACTGCCCCCTACTTTCGGCCTTGTGCCACATCTAAGCTATGCTTGGAAAATCACTACATCAGTAAAGTTACCTAACTTTATATGAGTATAAATAATTTTTGGATTTTCACTTTGTTATTCTGTTTTGCCTTCCAGTATTGCAAATCATTATGAAAATGTCTTTCAACATATCAGATACTTTATTATTCATTTTTTACTAATATTTCTTTCCTTTTATTTCTCTGGCTTTTTATTTCTCAGGTTATTTATTTTAAGACCATTCTCGTGTTGTCTTTGCTTTGCATCAGCTTTTCAGCGATCAGTCTCACATAATTTATCATCACACTTAGAGTTTGAATAAAATTGGATAAAGAAAAATGTTAGAACACTAAAGGAACGATTATCAACAGACATTGACAACAGGTCATATATTGTGACAACAAATCAAGAAATAGGAAAAAATATTTCATTTTCATGTTTTGAAAATAGACTTTTTAGAAAGAAACCAATTAATAATCATTACAAGGATCTTCAAACCAATAATAATACAAGAGAAAGTACTGGAAAAACTTGGAGTGCATGAACGATACAAACACCAAAATATATGTTTCCTTTCACAAAGTAAGTGAATTGTTGCCCGTGGACAAAATTTGATTTGTAATTATTTATTTTATAATTTGGAAAATTTAGAAATAAATTAAGAAAATAAATTACCTTAGGAAGTGAGGTGTTATAACAACATCAATAGGAAACATTTCATTTTCAGCTTTTGAAAATAGACTTTTTGAGAAAGAAACCAATTAATGATGATTACAAGGTTTTCAAATAACTAAGAATACAAGAGAAAGTACTGGAAAAACTTGAAGCAGACGGACAATACATACTCCAAAATATGTTTTCATAAAGTGAGTGAGTTATCCCCCTTTGATTGTAAACAAAACAAACTTTGATTTCTAATTTTTTATTTTTGTAATTTGGAAAATTTAGAAATACATTAATAAAGAAAATAAATTACTTTAGGAAGTGGGTATGTTCTATAATAAAATCATAAATGTTTATTATGATGCTGATTGTAAGTACTTTTGGTCCAATTATGGAATGCTGGGAGCAAACAGATTGAACAGAAGTTTAAATAAAATAGTTGTTTAGTTTATCATGTCTCATATCATCTTTGTATTGCTTCAACTTTTCAGTGACAAGTCTCACATAATTTATTCCCCCCCTCCCTACTCAAGCCAAGTGGAACACTCTTACACTTAGTAATGCTTTGTGTCAGTGGCTTTTATTGCCTTGCTCATTATGCTTAGATTTTCTTAATATAGTGCACGCATGAATTATTTCAAATCCTAAAAGCGTGAAAATTACTTATGTGCATTGATAGTAAAAAAAACAAAAAAAAACAATTGTAATGTATATATGTCACAGTCAAAATTTTCCTTGCATGTTTTCTCTTACCTGATTAGAAAATTAAATCTTAGTTTTCTTTAGCACCTGTCTACTGATCTGAACTTATTTTTTTTGCAAACACTACTTCTAATCAATTTCTTGAAGCATTTGCTTTAGTTACAATTCCCTTGTGACTATTTGTAGTCATCAAAGGCTCCCATTATCAATATTTCTGCTGAATTACATTATTTATTAAACAATATAAAAGAGGTCTTCTACTTAAAACACTATGAAGTATGAAAATGCTTTGGGCTAGTCCATTAAAAAAACTATTTCAGAATATGAGCAGGTATAAATAACTTTGTCAAGTTTGAAGCACATTCCTTTTGTTGTAAAACTAATGCTCATTTAATACTGGTTGGTATAATCTTAATAAATATTCATGATTTTCTAAAAACATAGTTCTATAAGAAATTAATTCGAATCAGGTATATATTTTGTTAGGATCTTTTACTTGAACATCTGACAATACTTTTTCACTACCTGGGAATACTTTTTGATCACCTGGCAATAATTTTTGGTCACCTGGCAATACTTTTTGATCATCTGACAATACTTTACAGCTGTTACATGTTTTTTGTTGCTTATTCATTTGATACATAGAAATTTGATAAATGAAAATTATTGTTGGTTCCAATTGGTATGGAAGGATCACTAAAAGCATTCCTTCCCTGAATTTATAGACAAATTGCACAGATGCATGCTGGGATTTCTTCCTAAACAATAAAAATGGGCCACTTCTTAGTCTCATCTGCCATATTTTTGTTCTTTTTTGTCTTAAGGTCAGAATGCTATAATCACTTGACTGTATCCCTTTTTCATATTAAATCCATTCTTACTTTGTGAACTTTTTGCCTTATTACTGTTGCTTTGCATAATTTTATCTTGCATATATATTTGCGTAGTATTATTATATTGCCCTGTTCTTTTTCTTTCTTTTGTTATTGTTTATTGCAAACTTTGTCAATTCTGTTTGTTGGGCATTTTTGCCAATTACACTTAAACCTTGGACAATTGCTCTACAATTACAATGAATATGCAATAAACCTGAAGTAAGATAAAATTCTTCTTCTGTGGGTCATGTCTCTTCAGGACAGGTGATCATGACTCTCTACAACTTCCTAGCCCTTGTGGCCTTTAACAGAATTTATCCATTTGATTAGATTCCAACCCCTAGTTCCACAATCCATTCACACAAACTTGTCAGGTAAGTAGTAACTTGCTGCCTTCATTTATCTCTCTTGCTCTCAATACAAATGTAAATCACATGAAATCATATGAGTCAGTTTTATAATGTTGATTTTCCTTTAATCTTTAAATTCTCCCTTTGAGAATTATTTTATTATGATGTGAAAAGTTTCTGTATCTTTTACAAATGCAGAACTACAAAGTCTGTTTTTGTCTTTCTTACATTGGTTCTCAGTAATAAATCTTTGAGGATATGCTGCTTGAAAGTACAGTCTAAAAACACTTGTCTATATGAAAGTTTCAGAAATGGTAATGGTAATATTAGCCATTTCCTTACAAGGAAACATTTGGCATTCATTGACTGAGGAGTCAGTATACTGCTTTCGGTTGAAATTTATAAAATCTTTCTTTTTTTTTTTTTAAGTCGGTTAATTTGGATCAAAACAAAACTGGTGATTTTTGGAAAACCGAGAATCAAACACATTTTCAAGAATTAGCATGCTAAACACTAATTCATCAGTTATCTCCCTTGATATTAAAACATTATTTTCAGAGGTTCCATTATATTTGTGTAATTTCTTTGTTTATTTGAAATATTAAAGTAATTTGTTGAGTCATCTGATTTTAAAATTTACCTGACCAATATGAATTTAGTTTTTTTTTTCATTGTTTAAAATTTTTGTTAATTTATTTCACCCATTTGCACAAGCTTGTCAGTCAGATGGCCCACTATCTCCCCCAGTCCCTTTAGACTTCTATAAGTCCTGTGGATGTCAAATTCTCCAAGCTCTTCTTCCTCATTGTGTGTCCAAGAAGTTTCAGCTGTCTCTTTTAGATTCTGAGTATAAACGTCCATTTGTTTACATACTTTGCCCATGGTATTCTCAGCATCGTCCTGTAGAACTACATTTTTGTTGCCTCCAGTCTTCTCTTCATCTGTGAGGAGAGTGTTCACCATTCACTGCCATACAACATTATTGATATTACACAGCAGTTCAGCACTTGTTTTCTTTGTTTCTAACAAAATTTTCCTATTTCTTAGTATTTTGCTTAGCTTTTGGAATGCATCTTTTGCTATTCCAATGCATATTCTGATTTCAGTATTGCATTTTCCATCCTCTGTTAAAAAACATCCCAGATATTTACCGTACCGATAACCTCTAGGCTGCACAAACATCTATCTCTTAAAAATTATAAGTATTCATTAATTGGCTTATTTATTTGTTATTGAATATTTCTTATTTTTTTCCCCTTGTTTCAACAGAATTTACTGAAGGTGGCAAGTGCTTCTTTAACATTGTGAAAGAAGGAGATACGGTCACTTTTGCTACTGAAGATGAAACTGAACGTACACTGTGGGTTCAAGCAATATACCGAGCAACTGGGCAGACACACAAGCCTGTCCCACCCGTGATGCAAACAAACAAGATTAGCAATACTCAGATCTCGAGAATGCAGGGAGGTAAGCAATTTTTTTTTTTTTTACACTTCATCTGGAACACTTTTTATAATTTAAATGAACTAAATCAGTTTCTGTTATGTTCAGGCACAAATATGTTTTGTTTAAAGGTATTTCTCCATTTACCTCTCAGAAGCAGAATGTGATTTCAGTCCAGACAGAAGCATCTTAGATATGATCTTTACTATAAGGCAACTACAAGAAGATTGCATTGAGCAAAACATGCCTCTCTGCTCTGTATTCATTTACCTGGTAAAAGCCTTTGACACTACCAAGAGGAAAGCTCTTTGGACTGTTCTTGAGCATATCAGATGCCCACAGAGGGTTGTAAAACTCAACCAACTGTTTCATGATGGTATGATCAATCAGGTCCTCTTCAGTGGTGACATGACAGTCTTTTGCAGTCAGCAATGACATAAGACAAGTCTGTGTCTAAGATCTAGTTCTTTTCAACCTCTTTTTCAGATGCATATATGCTGTCTCATGAAACTTGAGTTCTAGAGGAAGTAATTTATATTCAATATTATCTGGATTGCTACATTTTTGATCTTCATCTCAGTGCCTAAACAAAGACTTCAACAACTCCTCTGCAAGGTCCTCTTCTGATGATTGTGCCCTCATGGCAAATCCAAATGGCAGCTGATGTTTGATTGATTCATTTTGTTTGTCATGGCAATCAGTCTCAGCAAGACTTATAAATTTGCAACAAACACCAATCCCCCTGCACTAATTATAACCATAGATGGTGCCCAGCTTACAAATGTTGATACCTTTAAATACATGGGTAGCACAATCTCCCAGGATGGTTGTCTGGATAAAGAAATTAATACTTGAATCTACAAAGCTAATCAGGCACTGGGAAGGATCCATCATAAAGTGCTCAACCAGCACAGTCTACGCTTGTCAAGAAAACTAAAAGTGTAAAATGCAAGGGTCCTTCTTTCTCTTCTCTATGGATGTAAAATGTGGAATTTGTACCAAAGTTATGTCAAGAGATTGGAAAAGTTTTACATGCAAACTTTTCATTCTATACTTGAATTCATGTTACAGGACTGTATTAACAACTTTCAAATTTTGGACTGGGTGAACTTGACCAGCATCAAATCAATGCTCATAAAGACACAAGACTAATGGACAAGCCATATCATCTGCATTAGAACCTGCTGTACAGAGATTTGCTAAGTGCCAGATGACATCAAGACTAACCAAAGAAACAGTACAGAGAAGCAATCAAAACTAACCTCAACTGGCATAAGGTCAGATCAAAGGAGCTAAAGTAGTGTGTTGCCAGCTAATCATAAACCTGGCATCAAAAATTCAATATTCAACAAGAATAGCATTGTTGGGGACGTGCAGAGTTTATTAATTATGCTTGAAAGAATCAGAAGGAATTTGTGTAGGTTACGTAACTTTCTGCATCCACAACAAATAAACAAAATTTAAAATACGATTAAGAACAAGACATATTCAATTAGAAGTTAATATAACATTTATATACAATTCAAAACAATATACAAACAGGATAATTGATATATGTTATGTTGGCAAAATGTGTATGATGTTTTAGATTTTAGAATGTCTCTCTTTGTAATTGTTCGTTCATTTGCAGTCCGTTTTAGATTTGTGTTGATATTAAAATTGTTAATATTAAGTGTCTTTTTAGGAGGAGTTCTTAAGGAGTGATCTACCTTTGACTGTAATGTTTTTAAGGTTGTTCGCACATTGATGTTTCTTAATAGGTAGTGAATATGATTCACTTTAGATAAGCAATGTTTGAGAATCGATGTCCACAGAGTTGGTTGAGTTTTGATTTTGAGTGAGTCAGCGTTGATGTACCTTTGCGCAGTAAAATCGTGATTTCGAGTGATGTGGAGTATGTTGGCCAGTTCTCTGTGGGTGTTCGTTACTGACTGCTTGGGGCAGTCGGTGTTTACTTTTATAAGTCCGGAAAAGTCCAAAATTGGCTCACAAAGTTTTGCCGCAATTTCGTTTTTGCACGTGAACTTTGAGATTAGTGTGTCATTAACCAATGAGATTGGTTGATTCGCCTAGTAAGGTTTTTATTGGTTGAAATTTCCATACGTAGGCGTAAGATATAGACTGTTTTGTTGCTAGGGGTGATAGGTAAGAAAAAGACGAGTCTACAGCATCACGATGCAACCCCACTGCTTAGACTCTGCACATCCAGACTGATGGATTGCAAAACAAAGTATTTTTTGGATCAGAAGGAAAATGATGATGTTTTCATTTGTTAAGTAAATGTCACATACAAAGAATAAATGTCTTTTTCTTTTTTATTTGTAGTAAATTTACTAGAATTGACATGTGATTGAGTAGTTAGAATATTAGCATTCTGACTATGAGATACAGGCTTGAATCTCATCATCGTTGATTAATTATAAAAATTAAAATAAACATCAGGTATTAATTATTGGTTTGTAAAAAAAAAAATCAAAAAAAAATCTAGTAATGTAGATTTGTAAAGAATCTAGTAATATATTTTTTTTGTTTTTTAAAAAAAAGAATTCAGTATTATAACCACTTAATGCCTACCATTCCAATTCAAACAAAGCAAAGGTCTGGGTTTTGCTCAGCAGAAACAAACGGGTTAACTCAACCATCCAAATCCAGAGCAAAAAGCAAAGACAATGAAAGAAAAGTCAGATTCACTGCATCTTCCTGAGTGAGAGAGGGCAAGCAGAGAAGAGTAGGAAAGGCAGTAACTGTGTCTTTCCAAGAAGGAAGAGGTGAAAAGGGCAAAGGGCTTTTTCTTTAAGCAAAGGTTGTTACTAGTTTTCCAGAACTGTTCATTTTTATATATTATATATACATAATTTTTGAAACATAGAAAGTTTTGTTAGAGATGAGAAACACTGGTACATAGAAATCTGTAATAAAACCGTTGTCAATCAAGGGAGCTAATCCACTTCTGATTGCTGAACCAAGGGATGCAACAGAATCACCTCTTTTGTTTTGAGGTGTGAATGTTCTTTTAGTAAATGTTTATGGGCTCCTGGAGCATTTGTCTCACAAACAATAATTGGTGAACTCATGTGAGTCTGAGTGAAAATAAAAAAAACAAAAAATGTAAACATGGCATTTAAAACAAATGACAATGCCTATTATTAACAAAAGGAATTACATGTGTTCATAATTGAAATCAAAGGAAAAAACATTAAAAACTAGATATAAGAATGGGCTTTGTGTGTGTAACAAGTGTGTGTGTAACAAGTGTGTGTGATACACAAGTGCTTGTGTGTAAGTTCAATAGACAGTAGACCAAGAAAACAAATGTGTCCCAGCAGGCATTCTCATCTTGGAGCAAGAAGAAAAAGAGAGGATATGTTTGCCTTTTTATAGACTTAAATAATGCTGCCTGATGGGCATTTTTGGCAAAGCCAAGTGGTGTCCATTTGCCTTTTATGATGTCAAAAATGGCATCTTGGCAGTGGTCAAAAGACTGAATGTTTAAAATAAACATTTTTGCTACTTCAGTCAGTTATGTGCCATGCGTGATATACACTTAGGCGATCATGTATCTTTTGATACATAACTGATCAGGCAGATGTTTTCCTGCAATAGGTTGCCATTTCTTTCTGCAGTAGACCAGTCGCCATCCAAGGCTATAGAACCCAGTCTGTCCTGCTATTTACGCATAGCTGGAGGGAGAAGAAGAGGATTCTTACCTTTCGCAAGGGTATTATCACGTAAGTGAATGTAATGGATTTGACTGGAATTCAAAGTTGGCTCTCCAATTCCTCAATCCAAGCTGCTATCCATTACTTCATTGTCTTGGGAAAGTTATGAATCCTCTTCTTCTCCCCCACCAGCTATGGGTAAATAGTAGGACAGATCAGATTCTATAGCCTTGGATGGCAACTGGTCTACTGCAGAAAGAAATGGCAACTTAGTGTGGGGGAAAAAATCTGCCTCCTCATTCATGTAACAAAAGATACATGATTGCCTATGTGTGTATCACTCATGGCATATAACTGACTTTTGCTATTGAGTTAAAAAACTGTTCAAAGCTAGTTTCTGAACAAACCAGCAAGGCCACTTTACAGATTATTGTAAAGAAAGCTGTTATTGAATGAATAACTTTTATTGTATCTTAAAAATTAGTTGGTTTAAAGACTGGAATGATCAAGAGAAACTAAGTATTTTATTTGATGTTTGATTTTTAGAAACGTTTCGTTATTTATATTTCAGATGCAGATCGAGCTCGAAAACATGGATTGGATGAATTTGTCCAGGCAAATCCTTGCCTTTTTGATCATCATGAAATGTTTAGCCTCTTACAGAGTTTATCTCTTGATTATAGATTAAATGATGCTTACACATCTTTGGTAAGTGCTTCATAACCTTTTACATTTTCATTCATCTATTTGTGATTCATATGTCTGTTAGATTTCATCCTCTTTATAAAGCTTCTCTTTTCAATAAGATCATTAAAAGAAAACAGTCATGGCATCTTGGCTATGTTTTGAATGCTAAACAAAAAAAATTCTGATATGAATTAATTTGTTACTGCTTACAACAGAGTATAGTAGACAAAAGCAAAATATATTAACAATGACACCCCCCTGACTCCTTGAATATGGCTAAATGGTAATGCTAATATTAACCATTTCCCTACAAGGAAACATTTGAAATTTAATGACTGAACAGCTAGTACCATTTTTGGCTGAAATTTATAAAATCTTTCTCTTAAAACAATCTTTCAGGAAAACAGGTTCCAGTAGCTGTTTTCATTCTTTACCATTATTGGTGGATGTTTCCTTCCCAACCTTTTATTTGAAGAAGTATGGAATATCAACATCTTGATTATGGCATTATTTTCTCTTCAAGTTACATGTGCCATCCATTTTAGTTGTTGCTGCTGTTGGTACTCCTCCACTGATGTAGTTTCTATTCTTTGTTTGTGAATCTGTAGCGTCAATACACAATGTTCAAAGAATGATGGTATTTGCTAAGACCCACAGGCTTTACCTGCTGAAAACTGAAAACACTTGGGATAATAAAAATGGACTTTGAACAATTTCTAGACTAGGTACTATTAGTAACCTCTGATAATCTAAAATATGTTTTAACTTTCAATAACCCACAAAGTGTTTTTAAGGCATAAAAACAATTAACCCACCAGAAAAGTCTGGTGGGGGAACTGGTTTAGCTACTGTTAAACTGATCATGTAATTATAATTATTAGGTATCATTTATTCATCTTCATCAAATAATCACCATCACTATTATCCATCCATTGACTGTTTCAATCAATGGGGTGGGGAGACTTAAAGGCAGGAGGATCTGTTGGCAGTGGCTCTCAGAAAGTTCTGCCATTGTCATGTCTGTCTGCTTTTTGATCTTGTTTGACCAGCTCTTGTATTGCCACCCTGCTTGTATCCAACTTCAACAGTGCCTTACATGATTGTCTTGCAGAGACTGTTTATACTGACAGATGTGGCTAAACCATGGCATCTTCTGACACTTAATAGTGACGAGGAGAGATTCCTCTGTTGACCCACAAGACTTTTGACTTTACTCTGTACATAGTCATCATATATTAGAAAATGTGATTTTATTGATAGATATTCTTTTATATTGCCGTGTTGTGATGTAGCTTATTGGCTAATTTATGATTTTTTTCTAGTAATCCAATAACAGCGTTTTTTTTCAAATAATTCAGATAAGTTTAATAGATTATTTTAATTAAATTATGTGGTTATTATATGCTAAGGATTTGTGGACTCATCTTGCAAGGAATGATGTGTAAATAGTCACCATTTTATATTTTTAATTTCATGCATGTATGCTGTTTATTATAGTAGCGTCAGCTGAGCACTGTCTGTAAGAAAAAGAGCACCATGATGCAATTCACTGGAAACGGCATGCTGTACTGCCTGGCATTTGTGCCAGAAGCTCCAATACAAATATTTCAAAGTGTTTGGGTGTCAATCTAGGATAGTGCAGAGGATTCAGAAAGAGATGGATGAGTTTAATGGTGATTATAAAGTTATAGCAGCTCGGAAAACTCACTCTGATCATTCTGATAAGAAAAAGATTCCCAAATTTATTTGTGAGGCCCTCACTCAACACAGGGTCCTACATCTGAGGAGGTAGTACTGCCTTGGGTCAAGAAGGTAGATGCTGGAAGATCCTATATCTTGCAACAGGACTGTGCACCATGCCATACAAGCAGAAAGACCCAGTCATGGCTGTCAGATAATTTCTGTGACCACATCACTTCTTACATCTGGCAACCTAACTCCCCAGATTGTAACTGCCTTGATTATTATGTTTGGGGCGCAGTTGAGTGAGAGACCAACAAATCTCTTTGTAACACCAAAGATAAACTGAAGGTATCGATTATGGCAGCATTCACCAACTTAAACAAGGAGATCATCCAGAAGAGTTTCTGGAGATTCTGAAGTCATTTGGAGACTGTGGTTGAAGCCAATGGCAATTTTATTGAATAAATCTACTCTTTAGTATTTCAAAAGATATTTTTGTGTAATTGTAGTAAATATACCTGTTAAAATGAGATGTTAGTGTTATTTTCATTTTTGCATAATTTAGATGACAATTGCACTCTAACTTTTCTATGGTAAGTCCAATTTTAACTTAGTGCCATAATATTGTGACCTTGTACCACATTAAGCTAAACATATTAAACATATGACTTGATGATAAATGGATATTTTAATCATTTCAGTAATTTTTGTTAGCATAGGACTGAAATTTTCTGTAGAGAATTTATAATTTCTGCTGATATGTTAGTATTTGTACCTGCTTAATAAGTAGGAAATATTGGTATACTAGAAAAATTTTATTAAAAAATTGGTTCCTTCAATCATAATAGTCATCTCTTACCTATTATCAGGCCCATTGCCAAGATGGGAGTTTAGGGTTGTCTTCCTCTACCCCCCCCCATGAAAATTATTATGAATTAATTTTAGTGTGTAAATTCTTATTCTCTCCTCCCACCTCTAACTTAAAGGCCATCTTCTCCCACACAGTGAAAACACACTGGGGGACAGACCTATATATTATTAACTGTAATTATTTCACCTTCATCAGTTCCTACCGTTTTTTAAAGTTATCTCCCCTGAAAGGTAGATTTATGAAGATCTTCTACAGTTCCTTGGAATTCAGACAGCAAGAACAGCTGGTACAGTTAACCCAGCTTCTCCAAAGTAAAAGGAATGTGAGTTCCAATTCTCATCAGGAGTTTATTCTCCATTATTTCTAATTTGTTATTTGCTTACTGTGACAGCTCAAGTGAATTGTTCTAATGAGCTTTTCTCTATGGTACCTACACTTTACGAATTTAAGTGTAGTACTAAATTAGCAACAAGGTCTCATCAATTTATACTTCAATTGGCTAGATGTAACTTTAAGTTCTATGCTAACACTTTCTTCTCTTGCACTTCTCACTTGTGGACTCTCTTCCAGCTATTTGCTTTCCAGCCAATTTTGATCTTCAAAAATTTTAATGCAGTGTCAATTGTCATCTATTGTTTTCTTAAATTACTGATATGTCTTCACAACAAGTTGTTTTCCTCTGCTTTCTTTGCCTTCGATGTGTCCTATGTGTGTTAAATTCTCCAAACTTTCTTTCTTCTTTAACTGACTTCAAAATTTCATTTGTCTCTTTCCTATTGTTAGCAACAGTTTCTTGAAGTTACTGTTCTCTCTCTCTCTATTTTTTTTTTTTTTGCATCAATTGTATTTTCAACATTTATTGGTAGAATCATATCTCAGATGCTTCAAGTCTATTTTTTATTTGTGACAAAATTATCATATATTCACTGTTATATCAGATGTTACTAACCAGAGTCAAAAACTTAGTATTGTTTGTTTAGTAATCTTTCAAATTTATACTCAGTTTATCATTTTTAGTTTGAGATATTAAACTTTAATGACAAATATTTTCTTCCATTTTCCCTTCATAAATTGGTATCTTCATTGATGGCAAGATGATCAAATTTCAAATCTAAATTGTTTATCCATTTAAAATATTACATTTATTAGAAAATATATACAGGAGGAGTCAGGAAAATGACTTCAAAGGGCCTCACATTTCAGGTTATACGCTTTTCCACAGGTGCAAAGGAAAATTAACTGTCGCAACACAGATGTCCATTTCAGTTTCAGGCAAATTCTGCTGTAAATTTGTGTTTGCATATATTTTAATTCAATGATGGACTTAAAATATTTCCACAAGCTTTTTTTTTTTTTTTTTTGTTACTTTTTTTTAAAAAAAAGCTTCAAGAAGTAATTCTGTTTATTGACTAATAATTAACAAAATGTTTCATACAGTCTTATAATTGTTGTTTTCTAGAGTTTTATAAATTTATTTATTTTTGGGAGTCAAACTTTAGAATTTTATTGCTCAGCTAAAGGTAGGGGTTGTCCAGACTGAGTTAGAAAGGAATGTATTATTCCTATGTTTTATTTCAAAGTCAGTCAAAATTATTTTTGTGTGTGTCTGTATATATATATATATATATATATATATATATATATATATATATATATATATATATATATATATATATTTTAAAGAGAGAAAATGTGACTACATGTATTTTGTAAGGTGTGTGTGTGTTACTCTTACCTCCAAATACAAGAAAAAAAGCTTCATAGACAAATTTAAACCAGCACTAAACAAATAATCTCACATACATAAACACACTATATCGTCATAGTGGCAAAACACACCAGTTACACCACATACACAAACACACCATACAAAATGCATGTAGTCACTATATAGGTTTCCTTACAATAATATAATATGGAGAAAGAATATGTACATGCATACTAGTGAAAACAAACACACTAGACGGACCACACACACACACCATAAAAATATATATATATATATATATATATATATATATATATATATATATGCACACACATACATACTATTTCCTTGTAAAAAAAATGTGTATGGAGAAAGAATATATATAAGCATACTGGAAAAACACTACAAAATACACAAGGATAGAGGAAGAAAGACCTGCTTTTTTTTACCCTTCTCTGACCAAATTTAATTGTTTTATTACCCCCAAAGGGAAGGAACATTTTTCAGCCAGTGCAAGATGGATTCAGATGACTACTACTACACGCAAAACACAATGGTTAAAAGACTTAACATAGAAAAAATTAATTCCTTTAAATAATATGTGGAAATAACCATTCTTCACCTGATGATGATCACAAGACCTGAAACACATAGCAACATATATAGAATAAAGTGCATAAAAAAATACACATTATAATAAAAAATGTTTGTTTTTTTTTCTCTCTTAAAAATATACACTTTTCTGTTATTGGAACAATTATAATCTATCTCTTTTATTTATATATATATATATATATATATATATATATATATTCTCACCCGTCAAAGTGCAGTTGAAATGCACTGAAACCAAGTTGCATCTTTGTAGTGAGTAAAATGGTTTTGTCTATATGATAAAATTATAATAAATAAATAATTATTGCTCTACTATCGGTATCAAACCCGCTTTTGGATTAATGCTGTGAACATTGAAATTATTATATTACTTTAGTTCTTATCACATCGGAGATATATATATAGTCATCCACAGACAGACTGTTTCAGTGTTTCACAGCTCATCAGTGTGGCTAGACATCTGATTGCTTCAAGAAACAAATTTTTACATATTTATTTTTTATAAACATACCAGTGACCTAGAGAACTCAATCCAATTTTGGAGAGTTTTGCATTATCAGCAGTAATAGTGACTGTCTACAAATTCGTGCTCTTCTCCTCACAGTGCTTGAACAATTTCATTATTTTTTGATAGATATATAAATATATTAGTGAATATACATAATATCCAACAATGATAGCACGACTTAATAACTCCATTACATTACATAACACTGTATTTATAACACCTGAGAAAGAAATATATAAGTGCATATATGTACATTTTTTATCATACCATATATATATATATATATATATATATATATATATATATATATATTTGTGTGTATGTTTGTTTGTGTATGCATTATATGTCAGAAACATATGTAAGTCTCTTACACACAATATAGGCATACTCATATGTATTATATATGCAAGAATACAAAATCACACACTACAGTTTGTGATGGACAGAGAATTAACTCATCTTTTACAATATAGATTTTTTTCTATGTTATAAAATTATTATTATTTCCTTTTTATTTACAGACTTCTGTAATGTATTTTTCCTTTTATTATTTGCAGGGTTGGTTTAGTCCAGGTCAAGTTTTTGTTTTAGATGAATATACTGCACGCTATGGCGTTCGTGGTTGTCACCGGCATCTTTGCTATTTGAATGACTTATTGACTCGAGCTGAGAAGGGAACCATGATCGATCCAACCTTGATTCACTACAGCTTTGCATTTTGTGCTTCTCATGTACATGGAAATAGGTAAGTAATTTCTCTTACTTCAACCATTTCAGTTATGTTGGGATCAACATGTTTTTAAATAATAGACATTAAGACTGGTTACATTTTTTTAAAAGCAAAATTTTGATTGAACACTGTTGTTGTTTTTTTTAAATTTGCTACTTTTTGTATTTAAGAAATTTTTAATATTTCAAATTCTCTTTCATATCGTCAACTCTTATTTTATTTTTTACATTCATACTTTTAGTGGGCTATTTCAAAATTATATTCTATATAAATTTTGATTTTAATAAAATTAATTTCTATTTTTGTTGTTAATAAATTTGTCTACTTGAAAATTAATCATTCTTTACTTTGATGAAAAGACATTACATTACATTGATTTTATATATATATATATATATATATATATATAAATGGTTAAAAACTTAACATAAAAAATTAATTCCTTTAAATAATATGTGGAAATAACCATTCTTCACCTGATGATGATCACAAGACCAATAATTTCTTATATTTATAAGATTATTACTAGTGTGTGTGTGTGTATATATATATATATATATATATATATATATATATATATATATATAAAAACAAAACTGTTGATGGAACCAACAGACATCTTGCCAAGACCTAAAACCCTTACCCAGATAAAGTCTTCAACAAAAACAATAATATTGAGAAAAAAATCAAAAGGAAAACCTTCCTACTTAATAAAGTGCTCAAAGCCTAGATTATGTAGACACAGTAAACAATGCTTAACAATATTAATTCCTATGGAAGGATGGCCCTAGTCGTAACCTGAGTTTTACACTCATGCAATCTTCAGACAACTTGAATGCAAATAAAAGAAGGGGGAATATCAGCTTTATATAACTTGTGACCGTAAAGCACAACCCTAAAGCATCATGTGGGTTGGGGATGGAAATAAAATAATTTAATTTAAAAAAACTCATGGATAGCCATGCCTTCACATGGGGGAAAGAAAATAGGCAAAGAAAAAGTCCCTGTGGGTTGGCTATAATAATAATGGCCGTGCTGTAGAGTCTGGTTCAGTGGTGGGGAGGGGTGGTTGTAGCCATACGCTAGTCAGGTGACACAATAGGTGTTTCATGTTATGTCTACATCTGCTAATTAATTCTGATTTTTTATTAAGTATTCTGTTATAATTGCTCAAACTTAGTATTGCAAATTTTTTCTTACAGCCAAAGCTTACACCTATCACTAGCATTTTACATGTACTACTTTTTTTTATAAATTCTCCAAGTAATTTTAGTGGACTTATATATATATATATATATATATATATATATATATATATATATATATATATATATATAAATGTTATTATTGTTACTTAAACATTATTTTTAATAATAGAAAAAACGTAATTCTCTTAAGTCTATTGAAAATATATTTCATATTTTTTTTTGTTTCAAAGAATTATTTCTGTCTACATAAGATGGGGTTAAGAGAAGTAATTGAATGTGATTTAGGATGAGGTGTTAAATATGTCTGAGTATTTTTCTTAAATGTAGGTGTATTAATTGGCTGTAAGTGTTAATTCATGTTTTCACTAATGTTTTTTAGCATTGGTTGATTGCCAAAAACTTTGCAAAATTTGAGTAAATCTGATAAACATTTTGAGGTTGGTTTTGTGTCAATTGTTTGAATATCAATTTGAAATAGATAATGCAAAATTTCATTTTAAATTAATTTATTTTTTAATTTACATAAAATATTTTTTAATTATACAAACTTTACATATATATTAAAAATTTTCAAATTTCATGAAAATTATTTTTGTAGATATTTATAATTTTTTTGTTTTAGCATGTAAATGGATCAAATGTTTTAAAATTTTTAGTTTTGTATCAAATATTGTGATGAATTTTCTGGTTATGTGATGTGTTTACACTATAAACTTTAGGTTTACCTACCAGCACAAAATCTATGGTTTAGAAATTATTGATCTTTTTAATATTTAACTTATTTCATTCAATTTTTCTTGCAGACCTGATGGCATCGGAACAGTTCTTTTATCTGAGAAGGAAAAGTTCGATGAAATCAAGGAGCGATTGCGTGTACTATTAGAAAATCAGATTACGAACTTCAGGTATTTATATTTCCAAGGCATTTCTGATTTTTTGAAAAAAAAAAAAACACTCGTTTATGTCTCTACAATGACTGTTATTTCGAATCATTTTTATCCCCCTTGTATTGAATGTATCATTATTTATCTGAAGATATGAAATTGCACTTGTAAGCCATGAAGAGAATTTGTCAACAAGTTAGTTTTTATGCCATTCCTAGGTAATTTGATTCGCACAGCTTCATAAATACCATTTTGGGGAAAATCTTGTTCATGAGTTAACCATTTTCTTTTAATTTATTTAAAATTTTTATGGTCATTCATGTGAACAAAACTGACAAAATGCTTTAATTCTTTTTTCTTTTGTTTTTCTTGTATATCTACAAGTGTTGTTTTTTATTGAAAAATACATAATGTTATAAAAATAAAAAAATAAAATAAAATAATGTAAAAATTGTCTAAAAGTTTGTTCATTCTAAGTAATTTTGGCTGAACTGTTCACCATTTTCAAGGATTATTTTTTATTATGCAACTATACTAAATGGTGTGTAAACACTATTTTAGATTATATAAAAGTTGCTGAAAGTAGACATACTCTTAATTTCCAAATATGGCCAATATATTCTGGCTGTGTTCATAATTAATGTTATTAAGGGTTGGTTTCCTGTTTTTTATAATAAGTGCTTCCATCACTTATGGACAATTTTTACATTTGTTAAGTTCAAAAAAGAAGACATTTGTATGTAGATAAAAAAAAAAATTAATGAAAAAAAAAAAAACTAAACAAAAGTACTGTGTCAGTTTTGTTTAAATGCATGACAAAAAATTTTAAAAAATAAATTTAAAAGAAAACAGTTGACTTGTGATCTTCAAAAATCGATTAATTAAATACCTTGTCAGTCTTCTTCAATGAAGCATGCATTAAAGAGGGATTGGTGCCCAAAAATGCACACAATATAAAAGTGGACACTCAGGTCAACACTGAGTGGTGACAGTCTGTTTTGTACTTGAACACAATATTCAGTCCATGTGTGTTGTTTTTTGGCTTGACTATTTATATTAGATTATCACACATGAAATGACACATTTTATAGGAAATGAATAAAACACTTTTGAAATGTCAAATAACTAATTTATTTAGTTGAAATGGGCACCATGTTTACGAATTCTCCAACATACCCCTAAATTCTTGATTCCACCTTTAAAAAAATTCTCATCCTTTGATGTGATGAACAGTTCAAATGCTTTGATTACCTCTTCCTTATTGGAGAACGTTTTATTGCATATGAAAATCTCAAAATGTTTAAATAAGTGATAATCAGTAGAAGAGATATCAGTTGAATATGGAGGATGAGGCAACATTTCATAATTCAGCCTCTGGAGCTTTTGGACAGTTTATTGATAAGCATTCAGCTGTTTGTTGTTGTGCAGCAAAATTAGGCCATCCCTATTCACAAGTCTAGGATGTTTCTGTTTCAATTTATCGTACATACATTCAATTTCTCCACAATACGAGATTGCTGTTATTGTTTTCTCTTGAGGCAAGAATGAATAACCCCTTTGAAAGACCACCATACAGTAACCATTAAATTTTTAGGGTGCAGTGGAGGTTTTGTTTTGATGATTCACTTGCATCTGACCACTGGCCTATTCACTTACTGTTGTCAAAGAGTATCCATTTCTCATTGCATGTAATGATTCAATGCAAAAATGGTTCTTTTCCCTAGTTCGTACTCATACAGAAAGATTACTTGACATTGTTTTATTTTAATCACTTTCATTGGGCTTATGAGTAACAATATATTGAAAGAAAAATTCAGTCAAAATTTTTTTATATACTAAGGAGGTTACTTTGTTAGATGACTGGATCAGCAACCAACTAAAAATGTGTCATATATATATATATATACTGGTCAATGGTACATTATAAATAATAAGGTCTATTATATTATCCTAATAGTTATTGGTGTAGGCAGTAACAGTTATATTCCAAATTATTCTAGAGACTATTGAGTAGAAATAATTGTGGATTTTATAGTGTTATTTGTTAACTTTTTACTCATTATTCATTATTGATTAATTATTTATTGCTGATTATTAGTATTACATTATATATTCTCTCTGTATATTTCTGACCATTTTCCTGGTTTCTGGGGAAAACTGAAAATGCTTAGACACAGCATAATTTATATTTATATTTTCACCAGAGAGCAGGAAAATATATGACAAAGTGGGAAAAGTTTTTTTACGTTAGGACTTGATTGAAGAAAGTTTGTTTATGCTGATGTGGCTACACATGTGCATGAATGAAAGATGCTGGGAATTTTAAATTTTTAAAATTTAAAAAAATTTTTTTTTTTTTTTTTTTTTTTTATATTTTTTTTTTTTTTTTTTTATAATATTTTTTTTTTTTTTTTTTTTAATATGTTTTGTGGTCTATAATCTACTCAATTTCATTTAGATTCTTTTTCTTTCCATTACTTTTAAATATCCTACATTGTGATAATAGAAGATCTGCCAAGAATGGTGAAATGCTGTATGAACCTGAATGCAAATTCATGCAAAACATTTTTCACTCTGTCATACATCTTTCCTTTAAAACTGTCCTTGATGTATAAAAATTTATATATCATTATCCCATATATATATATATATATATATATATATATATATATATATATATATATATATATTTTATTTTAGGATATTAAAAAAAAAAAACATGTTAAAAATTGCTACACATTGGCAATTATGTTTCAACACCACAAATATTGTTTTTTTTTTTTTTTTCAAAAAAAGAGGAATATCCTGCTTTTAAAATTAAAATAATTGTTCACTTGTCATTAGTTTACCATCGCCTGAAGAGACACATTTGTGGTGTTGAAACATAATTGCCATTGTCAAGCGATTTTTAACATGCTTTTGTTTTAATATCCTAAAATAAATAATATTTAGCTCTACTCTATATTGAGCCCTCTTTTAAATTAAATGTTACGGACAGTGGAATTATACTCCATTTGTTCTCAATTTACCTGGAGATATATATATATATATATATATATATAATTATAATATTTTGCTCAACTGTTTGTCTCGATAAAAATAATTGCTAAGAATACCGGATTATAAATCTTACTGTTTTTTTCTTATTATTTTAATATATAATCCTTCCAAAGAACTTTTGTTGGTCTTTAACCTTGTTTATCTCACACTTTTTGTAGAATACACATATATATAAATAATCCTTTGTTTATTTTTTTTTACATGTGACATACTAGTTAGGATCTATATTTAAGTTAATATATCCAGTTCCAATGCTAAATATATTTTTAATCTCTTTCTTTAGATACTCCTTTCCTTTCGGGAGACCTGAAGGTGCTCTGAAAGCAACTTTATCTTTGTTAGAACGGGTAAGTATTACAAATGTCTATTTTACTTAACACATTGACTGCCAAACATTCAGTAACTCCTGGTTGGAAGTTTTTTTTTTATGACACTGATCATGAGTTATCATGTGCTTGGCAATTTCTGGTACATTTTCACACAATGAGTTAATTCTCAGTGATACTTTTTGTGTGAAAACAATGTTAAAACTTCACTTCATGCTATAAATTAACTTATAAAAAAATGTTATTGCCCAAGTTGGCTATTATAAAGTTGGCCTTTGAAGTCAGATTCTGTAATTGACCTTTGACTGTTGAATAAAAGATTCAGTTTGAAATTACTGGAAGGTTTTTCTATTTTGTCATTCAGAAATGTCTACAACTATACTAAAGACTACACCTGGGATATATTGCTCACTGGAATTTGTGCATAATATGGGATTTAATGATATAATTATAATCAAAAACTTTCTTTTCAATTTGATTCTGTTATTTTAATTCAGAAAATAGTCCTTCTTAAAGACATTTGCTTGATCTTTGTGAAGCCATCTTCCTTACCTTTGTGCCAACTTTCTGAAGACGCTTATATAGAGCATGCCAAAGAGAATTTTTGGAGTTATTCACAATGACAGCCATGCAACTCACTACTGAGACATCTTGTTGGGCATTTCCTACTATGTTTAGGACTTCTTTTTGGTATGGTCTTTTGACCAGATAGTATTTAGCCTAATTTCTCAGTATTCAAATTTTCCCTATTAAAAATGTTAAAGAAGTTTTGAATTTTTATTTTTCATTTTCTTATTTTCAATTTTTTGAATCTATGCTCAAATAAGAGGTTGAGTTTAACAATACAAAAGGTATATTTTTCATTTATTTTCATTAGACTTAAGATTTTGGCCAGCAGTGTATATATGTAGTGGGAACAGGGTGGAAGAGATATACAGTGGCCTAAGAAAAGTTTTTAGCCAGGAGTAATAAACTATATCCAATTTCAAAATTTAATTGCGTAATCCCAGCTCAACATAAATAAACAGAATTTGGAACAAGTATGGAGTAGGTCCTCTATTTGCTAGTTTCAGTGCTTCTCTTTGATTTTTCATGGATTTGATCAAGTTATCAACGACCGTCTGATCCATATTTTGCCACTTCTTTAGCTTATGTTTCTTTAAGGGTTGCCACTGATATAATTTTGGTTGCATGCTCTCAAAGTTTTCGGTGAAGGTGCTTCCAAACGTGCACTATTTGATTCATGTCAGGACTTTGGGTTACTTATGTGATTCCTTCCCGGCCTTTGCTACTTTGTTCATATGATATGGTGTTCCATCTTCTTGAAAAAGGTAGACAATCAGATTAGATTCAAATAGTGGGAGTAGTCCTTTCTCTAATATTTGACAGTATTTTAGACCAATCAATCGCTCATCAACAAGAATCATCTCAGATTTCCCTCCATACCAGACAGTTCCCCACACCATTACTCCAATCCCTCCATTTTCAAGGTCACCTGCAGGCATTCAGTGTCCCAAGTCTCATTCTGTTATCTCTAAACATAAACCTGTCTCAAATCTGAATATTGGCAGAATTTACTTTCATCTGACCAAATTACAGACTTCTAAAATACATAATCTTTGTTCTCAAATTCTCTTGCCCAGTCCATACCCATGTTCTTGTTAACCTCTGAAATCAAGGGCTTCTTTTTTGCAACTCTTCTTTGATAGCCTAGCTCTTTTAGAGTCTTTCTCACCACATGTGGTGACATTTCCATGCTGTTGGCGATGTCTATGACACTCTGATAACGGTTTCTGATGACTTTCCTCTTCAGTGACCTTTTCATTCACTCAGACATGATGCTTGGTCTTCCTGAATGTTGTTTCATATGACAATGAACTTCTTCATTAAATTTCTTGACAATATTATTAACCCTTTGATGATTAACCTGGAAAACCTAGCAATTTCTCTATTTGACTTGCCACACTGATGTTGTCCAGTTATTTGCCCTCATTGAAATTCACCAATTTCCTTATTTCTGCAAACTTTCATTGCAAAATATAAGTCAGCTATCGTTCATAGATGAGAGTAGCTTGATACTAACATGGTAATGTCTGAAAAAAAAGAAGAGACGTTATTACACAAGCCAAAATTGTTTGAATCAAGGGTAGCTAAGAACTTATCATAGCCCACTGTAAATAGAAACATTGGTTATAATTATGTATTGATGAGAAACTCTGAAGGGGTAGGAATGCTAAATTTAATTTTTTTAAATTTCTGGTATTCAAAGTGTCTAGACACACAGTTCAGATAATTTCATTTAATTTTCCAATGCTTTCCCACATTGTAACAATAGATGATTGCTAAGAAAAGTGAAATGTTGTAAGAACCCAGATGTAAATTTATCATGGAAGTTTCAGAAATCAGTGCACTTTCTATACACTTTTGCCTTAGTAAATTACTTTCTCTTTTAATCAAAACAGCATTTTTTAAATCAAAATTATGGTCAGATACATTATGATGAATATATTGAGTATCTTGTTTTGTAAAAGGTCTTATTTGGGTTCATAAATTTATATATGTTCTCTCGGATATTTACTTACATTTAAACATAAAATATCAAAAGCTGTTCATGTATATCTTTATTTTAGGTTCTGATGAAAGATATAGTTACACCAGTCACTCCTGAAGAAGTAAGGAAAGTTATCAAGAAGTGTTTGGAAAGTGCGGCCCTTGTCAACTACACTAAGATATCCGAATATGCAAAAATAGAAGGTTTGTTTATTGCAGAATATTTTGATTTTAAATTGAATATTGTAATATTATATAAGTTAGTAATGCTTAAGAATTAAGTAATTAATAATTGGTGATAGTTTTATGATCAGAAAAGTATATTTTTCATTATGATTAACAATTATAATCTTGGCAAAGTTTAACTTTTGTCCATGTAAAAAAAAAAAAAAAAAAAAAAAAGAGGTGTAGCAAAAGAAGAGTTTTTCTATTGACACTGATTATTTTATACTACCTTTACTCCTTTGGCAATGTTTATTGTTTTAAAAAATGATGATTACAATTTTAATAAAACTCAAACATATGAAAGTGAATTTATACATTTTCTTTGTTCTTGAGAATTTACAGCAAAAATATTAAACACTATTTATTAGATTGTTTATTTACAAGAATAATTTTATATTCACAACATTCTAAAAATGCAAATTAACTAACACAATCTGATGTTTACTGATTTACAAAGAAGTAAATATGATAAACAATTTTTTATTCATAAATTTATTAAAACTTACTAAATCATAAAAATATATGAACTATAGTGAACACATAGCTGAATGCCCTTGAAAATGAACCTGCATCATGTGTACCCATTTTCTAAGGAAGAAGGAAAAAGTGTAAAAGCCAGCCAGAAAAAGAATACAAAAACAAGAAATGCTTCTCTGAGTAAACAACATTCTACGTGTTGGTCTGTCCAAAGTTAAAATGATGCACATAGCCTGCATAAACTCTCATTGTCGACATCTGCCTCAAAGGATATGTAAATTCTGAACAAGATTCATGTTGCACTATACAAATTAGGTTCTATAAGACAGGTAACTTGATTGCATTTAGGGAGTTTGTCTCTGAGTCATTAAGTTGTGTGGAGGACGAATTCTTGAGATGTGCAACCGCTGGATTGAATTTTATCCCCTATATAAAATTCTGCTACACTAGCTATAATCAAATTTTTATTATTTACCATTTTATAAAGGCTGAATCAACTGGCAATTAGCTGATGTCTTGACAACCATTTTTCAAAATTGTTTTTCCAAAAAAAAGAGTAGGAAGTGTGGGGGTAACCTATAATTACTAGAGTTTCAAGCTTTGGATTTCTATTGATTAGGCATCCTTGATCCAAGATCATGTTATAAAAAAAAATTTCGAAAATTAACTCAAGATATAACATAATTTGAGAAGGAGTATAATGTTCAGAATTTTAACATGTTTTTGTTTTAATATCCTAAAATAAATATATATATATATATATATATATATATATATATTAAAAATATTTTTAAAAATTTATATATTGTTATCCTATATATATATATATATATATATATATATATATATAGGATAACAATATATAAATTTTTATACATCAAGAACAGTTATGAAATGAAAGATGTTGATTTAAATTTTCTTTGTCTATAATTGTCGGAGATATTTTTATAAAATAATGAATACAGAATTTTTTTTACATAGTTATTTATTTATAAAATGGTAAATAATATTGCATTAGACATGACGTCCTCAAAGTCTGGACAAAGGCAAAAATTTTAAACATTTTATTGAATTGAAATATTATTAACAGATAACATCTTCGACATCATTTTCATTTATGATGCAAAGATTGATGTGCTTTGCAAGATTCACATGAACTTGGTGCAATACCTCCACATTACCATCAATTTTAGCACATTCACTCTTTATGCGTTCAATCAAGTGTATTGCACCTGTGATTTTCATTGAGCAAACCTTCTCCTTTAGCAGACCCCAGAAAAAGAAGTCAGTCCTTTCAACAAAACCATGTTTAATCTGTGGAGGTGAAAAAAAAATATATATATATAGTTAATGAGATTTCCTATGTGTCCAGACCTTAGAGACACCTTGTATATAAGGAATCTTATTTTTAAAATTTAGTACATTGTTATAAATTTTTGAATAAAAAGATTTCTTTTCAAATTATTTTCTTCATAAAATGTTAAATAATAAATATCACATTTTACATGGTTCACATAATTTCATAATCTTGTAAATAAATATTGCCAAGAGAGTTTCATTTGTTTACAGTAATAATGGTCTCAGTAGAAAAAAAAAAACTTTTTTTTTTTTTTTTTTGAAACATTGTTTTTTAGTAAGCATGAAGGTTAAACTTTGCCATAATCTATATGTAATCAATATTAGTCAGCTTTTTAACTTTTGTGTAAAAGGAACTATTTGTTAATAGTGAACATCAATAAATGTCTGCCAACTTTCTCAATTTTTCTTTTAATAAATATTTGTCAAGGGATAATCCTCATGGATTACAGTGTATAATCATTATCTCTTAATTTTTCTACAGTTCTAAATAGGATAGGATAAGGAACAAATTATCCTATCAATCTGTTGGATTCTAATCCATATTTGATCCCAATTCATGGCTAAACATGTCTAAATTATTCAGATGCCAAAATAACTATTTTTATGAAAATGAAAGAAAAAATTTTTCAAATATTTATGGTTTAAGTTGTTTTTAATATAAGAATAAAGAAAAAAACTGCTATTTTGTTTGTTTTCCAGCTGCAGAACGAGCAGCGGGTATGGATCAAGTTACCCCCTTTTTTGTTATTTGTTTTTTAACCTTGTGTTTATTAGCATATTTTTTTTGTTTTAGAGCACTATCTACTCTTTAAGATATTTCTTATGTTGAGAATGTACCATAATATTTGTTTGTCTTTTTTTATCCTTTATGCATAGATAATTATTAATTTTTATGTTTCATAAATAGTTTTGTTGTCATGACTATATTGTTCTTTCATTGTACTTTTGTTTTATTATTGTTATTATTATCGAGACAGTCTCTTTAATGTTTTGTTGTTATCATTGTTGTGTTGCTACTTTTGCATCTATTGTGATTCAATGAATTATTAAAATTTGAAAACTAGAATAGAAAGAGCATTAAGTTGTATAGACATGGTAAATGGCACAAACAGACAACTATCTATATTTCTGAGATGAGCTATTGTAACTATTTATATTGTTAGGACTGTTGTCTTCATCTTTATTGCCATATTCACATTGCTTCGGCCATTGTATGCTCCAGACTTCTTCAGGTGATATTAGTTGGAATTTCAAACCAAACCTGTTTTTTAATCCAAGTTGGTAGATTGTTCTAATTCCACATGTCATGCCTTTGGATATCTCAGTTTCAGTTAATCTCCCCTGGTAACTCAACTCTCCAATTTTTTTGTACTGTCTGCTGTAGCCAGGTATTGAATGCCCAACTCTTTGGGTCAAGTCACTTTTGGATCAGTCAACTAATGTTTTTATCCACTGGGCCATGTGTCAGCTGAAGAAGGCAATAAAGATGAAGACAACAGTCTGAACAATGTAGATAGTGCAAACAAATAGACAAGTTGTGCATTTTTGTTAATAGAAAAATTTTACTGGTGTAGAAAACTTTTTGGGAAATAAATCTCTCTTTATACACACACATACATACATACACACACACACACAGAGAAAATTATGTCTCTCTTTACACACACACACACACAGAAAATTATAAGTCTCTCTCTCTCTATATATATATATATATATATATATATATATACACACACAAAAAAAACCTTATGTCTATCTTTATACACAGGCACACACAAAATTATAAGTCTCTCTTTTTACACACATAAATTGTCTCCTTTTACATACGCACACAAAATTATGTCTCTCTTTATGCACACATACACACCAAAATTATAAGTCTCTCTTTACACACACACACACATGTATTGAAAATTGCTCCTGCTTCAAGTAAAGTGAAATTTATTTTATTATAGGAGCTAACTCATTGTAAGACCTGACAAAAATTACAGAATCAATAGACAAAGAATATTCAATGTGTTTTTTTCTTATTTAGCAGTAAATAAACTAATTTCATAATTATTTCCTCAATATTGAGTTATTTCATAATATTCTCCTCTGCATGGCTTGGAAAAAATTATATCATTAATTTAAACGAGCAATACTTGTGAAAATTTCACAATTTTCCTATTTTAATTTTCTGCTGAATCTTAATTGTGAACTTAATGATTGAATAAGCTCCTTGCAAATTTAAAGACTATAGAATATCTGTGGAAATTTCCCTAATGCATCATTAAATATTTGAGCTTTTAACAACTTTAACCAAATATTACAATAGCAATCACAAGTATGAATGCAGGTTATTAATTTAAGAAGTAAGAGGGTACAAATGAAAAGATTAAAAATTGACATCAAACATGGGAATCTTATTGTCTTCTCTTTCATTGAAATCAAACGGCAACATCAATATGTATTTTCTATCTTTCCTCACAATCAAAATGGAATAGTCCATTATTTTTTGAGGTATTGGCTGGGTGTAAAATATTAAGGAACATGCAAAATTATAATATAATTTAATTTAGTTTAAGTTATATTTTACGAATGAACGTTCAGCTATTAAATAAATGTTTACATCTTCTCTATAATTAATTTATTTACTGTTAATAAAAATAAATGGTGAACATCCTCTGTGTGCTAATTCCATAATTTTTGCCATGTTGACAATATAATTTTGCTTTTATTGTTATATAATGGCCTTATTTAACAATCACTCATGCTGGAGATGCAATTTACACTGAGGGCTGGAGCAATGGGAGGAGAAACAAAGGCTCTCTACTAGGGAGAGTGTGCTTGATGGAAAGAAAACATCAAGGCAACATCAGGAGAGAGCATCTTCACATGTATTTGTTACAATTGAGACTGTCACTCCCATGTGGGTCTGTGCAGCCATAACAGATACTGTATTGTCACCTGCAGTTGAGGCATAACTCTTTGGGTGTAGGACCAAGGTTTCTTGAGACTAACAGATGCCACACACACACTAGGCTATTGTCCTGTAGTAATTTGTAATTTACTTATTTATTGTTTTATATTTCATATAAATCTAATTTTTTTTCTGGATTTTTCTATTTTCTCTGATATCTATCTGTCTATGTATAAAATTCTGTGACTTCTGTTAGTCTGTACATCAAACTCTCTAAAATAGCCATACATTGACTGATCAAAACTAAATTTTGGGGAGAAGTGCTAAGAGCATATAAAGAACAAATGGTTTTACTATGGTGCATAGCTTAGTACAATAAATTTTCTTGGAAATATTAAGAGTTTTATTATTTAACATACAAAATATTCCTACTATTTTAAAAACAATCAACAATAATGTGAAGATCTCAGCATGCGTTGACTAATTGCAAAAAAAATTTAAAATGAAAAGACTTAATCTATTTTTGTTATGTTAAACTGCTTAATAATGTAATTAAAAATAGAAAAACCTCTACAATATAATTTTACTTGATTTTTATACTCACTTCCAAAAAACAATTTATTCATATATTTTTTTTATCATGGTGTATTTTCTTTTGGGCATAAACTGTATGTGTCTTCTTTTATTTGTTTATGTACAGATAAATACAAATGCACACATGCAATTGCACATATCAATATATATTAGTTATGGATATAAAAATCGACAAATAGTTCCATCTACATGTTAAAAAAAATAGAAAAACTGGTTTGAACATGTTCAAGTTCCATTAAACACTGGCTTAATCAACTCAGATTGCAGGACATATTTAAAAAATGTTATATTAATTGTGCTTTGAATTACATAATTTTTCTTTCTATTTAAAAATCACTTTTAACAATTATCATTGAATTGTCCAGGAAATGTCAGTAGTTGTATTTAGAATAAAAACTCCTCTCTTTGTTAGTTTGCATGACTGTTACAGCCTGCCAATACCTCGTAAATAATGAACTATTCTGTTTTAATCTTATATTTGGATTCAATAAGAAAATGGATGAATGAAAGAAAGAAAGGTAAATAGAAGTGTTTAACATCTGTTTCAGTGCATTAGAAAGAGTTATCAATTTCAAATCTTTTCATTTGTACCCACTTCTTAAAATAGAACCAGCATTCATATTTATGATTATTATTGTAATATTTTATTAAAGTTGTTAAGCTCAAATATTTAACGATGTGATAGGGGACTTTTCTACGGATATTTTATCATCGTAGAACTTGCCATGATCTTACTCATTCATTAACTTAAGTATTAAGATTCATGAGAATATTAAAATAAGAAAACTGAAATTTTCATAGGTTAAAACTAATGTCTATAAATCTCTCATCAGTTTTGCAAATGAAACTGGTTTAAATTATGTAATAGTCTTTGTTCGTTTTGAGTCCATTGTCTTCTTTTTTCTTCTCCTCTACTCTCTGCTTGACTTTCTCAGTGATTGAGCAACTGGCAAAATTCCTGAGTAGGATTAAAGCTGAGTGGCACAATTCATTGAGTAGCCTTTTTTGTAATCTTTTGCAATTTTTTACTCAGTTACTGAATACAGTAAAAGAAAATTGCATATTTTGCTTGTGGTGGTTCATAATTAGAATTCAAGTTTGAATATATTTTCTACGCAATATATCTAATACAAAATATATCAGCTATATTTGGATTTATTCTTGAAATAGTAAAATTTTGAAGTCAGTTTGTAAGCAAAAACCTGTGGAATTTAGATATTTCTTTACATTTTTTTCAGATGATCTTTAAAAGTAAATGCTCAAAATTTGGTAAAAGCTATGAATCTAATTTTTGCTGTTTATTATATGAAACCTCAGGTTCCACACCAAGTGCAATACTGATTTACTAAATAAAGGAAAAATTCAGCCTGCCTTACTTGCACAGGGGCACAGAGCATCAAATCCAACTCACAAAACAAACCTCCTCTGAAAATAAAAAAAAAATAATATAAAATTCAGTATAAATGGATCTGATCATGAACGGTGGCACTAATTCAAAAGCAATACAAAAATGTTGAGTCGTTATCCACTCTGCTTTTAAGGATGTTGCTCATGACATTGAAGGCAGTCGCAGGCGAGTGGATTAGCTGTCAATGTCAGCATCAATGACCTCGGTCTTCAGGCTCTACCGACTCTCCCCATCCTCCACATCACTTCTCTTGTCCACAAAGAGACATTCCTCTATATTGGCAATACAAAGAATTTTATCTTAATTCTTGTCTTTTCTCTTCATCCTATCAGTACTTCTTGTTGTTTCATTTGTATTACCATGTACACGCTTATAACAATAACTTAGGCTGAATTTGCAAAAACTGATTATAAAAAAAATTCTTTTGGGGACAATTTGATTTATATTTAGATGAGAATCCAACAGAATGGTAAATATATAAGACAATTTGAAGTGCTCTTATTTTGGCTAGTCCTAGGTATGATGATAAACTACATCTGGAAGCAAGGCTTCTGATCAGGAGATTGGAGATTTTCAGGAGCATGGAACCACCTCTTAATTACTAGTCTTGGGTATGATGATAAACTACATCCAGCAGCAAGGCCCCTGGTCGGGAGATTAGAGCTTTTGAGGAGTGTAGTACTACCTTTTAATTGCTGTTGTTCCCAGGTCCACTTTGACCTGGGGTGGTAGCATCTGTTAGGGTCCCAGCTATGGGTAAATAATGAACCTCCAAATAAAAACAAAGCATCATGAAAGTATAAAAATACATTTTTATAGTAAAAATACCAGCAATACATTTTTATATAAAAATAAAATACTAACAATATATATTTATAGTAAAATGGCCAACAGTATATCAATCAACATGAAAGAACTCTTTCATGACATTAATCCATATAATATCTTACAATTTCTTAAAGAAATCAAACTGTATTTCAAACTACAATGTAAAATATACATATCACTGCCTCTAGTAATTATGTTCACACAAACGTGTATGCACAAAAGCCGAGTATCATCTACCATGTATTCAATTGCAAGAGCAGAATGATCATATTTTTATTACTTCAAATCTCCCAAGAAAACTAAATCTTGGCATTAAATGACCCATAAAGGAGTTGATATGCCATAATCAAATCAATTAATCTTATTTTGACATATTTCACTGATTGATATCATCTGAAAAATGTATTTTATTTTGACCAAACATGATTAACATCAATTATATGAATGTGGGATTTTTTTTTACTTTAACTGTGTCATATTTTAAATTAAATTTTACTAATGTCAATTCGGTTTTATTAATCTATTCAATTGTTTTAAGATCTATAAATCTGTTGGAGTTAGTATTTTACTAGGATTTCTTGAATGCACAAACCGATAGACAATAGACGTAATGCACACTGTTCAATAATAAATAAAAATAGGATGTCGATTTCAAATACAAAGCATCCACTATAATAATGTTTGAAGTAATAGAAATGTCAAATTAAAAATAAATCCATTAATTCTTTAGAAATTGTTTTGTTTACATTTCAGATATAAATCTAAGCATATATTAAGCTTTTGAGAAAATAGTCTGAGTGGAGGGGATGTGCTTTCTTTAAAAAGGGAAAATAGAACACATTTTAATTTTTTTTTGTTTATTTGAATTTATAATGTCTACAATGTAGCTTAGTCAGTGTTTCATTTATTTCTCAAGAGTGATCAAGAATTGCAAAAGCTTTCCGAAATATATCTATTTTAACAATAAATTATCAATTGGAATTACAAGTTTTTATTCTTTTTAATTCAACTTTCACCAATGGAATCAAGAATTTTTACAAAAATAGAACCTTGCTTGCAGCTCCTCCATGTTTGTGTGATAAAACACACTGTATCAAACAGTGATTTCCTCTCCATTAGAGTGATGCAGGTTTGATACCTGATAGGAATGCATTTTCTTTACTATAATTTCTCGATTACATTGGCCAATAAACATAATATACACTGTTTAATCTAAATAAATAAATGGCAAATTCTGTCTGTCCATCCATGTGTCGGAAACCTCTCTAACTCACATCACACTTCCTCTACATTGATATATTATACTTTTTGGAATCAGGATGATCCCTATACGGAAAATCTGCCCTTCATCTGATACTTAAACATCCAGCATTGGATGTTTAAGTACCAGATAAGGGTAGATTTTATATCGAGTTTAATGCAACACAAAAACTTTATGAATTTATATATATATTTGTTTTAAATTCAGTTTAAAATATTTCCAAAACTTTGTGAATTGAGGAAATCAATTTTATTTCTTCAAAGTGCCAATGAATCAAAGTTAAAGTGCAAGGTTTCTTGACATGAGTTTTTGAAGAACTCAATTTTCAGCCTGAATTGGAATTTCAACCCAAATTGATCTTTTGGCTGGAATTGGATTTATATCCCAAATCAGAGTTAAAGTGAGGTTTTGGAATTCTATGGAGTGAATTGAGAAATTCAAAGTTATTTTTTCAAAATTATCAATACTGTTTTCTAAGCTGGAACAGAGGTCCCTTTAGTTTCAGACTGGAGGCCCAATTAGTCCTCCACAGAAGCTAGCTTAAAAGTGAGTCTTTTAAGCTGGTAATAAATAAAAATGTGATATCTATTTCAAATACTAAGTATCCGCTTATAATAATGTTTGCAGTAATAAAATATTACTTAGTCTATCACTAGTTCTTACTAAACTGGTGTTGAAACAATGTGAAAAAAAAAATCTTAAAACAAATATATAATTAAAAACTAAACTGAAATTAATAAAATCTGATTTAAAAATGATATAGTTAAAGCAGAAAAAAACTTCAGCATCCCTATGATTAATGTGGATCATGTCTTACCAGTGTAATTTAGCTTGAAATAAAATCAATTTTTCTGATGATGCTGTTTTATCAGAAAAATTTCAAAATTCAGTTTCACTTCAGTGTATCTTGTATATTTACCAATTTTTTTATATACACAAATTAATCATGGTGTCATAGTAGTTGATCTTTCCTTGAATGAAAAATTATAAGATTTGAAATAATATATTTTATGAAACAATTCATTATCGGTACATTTTTTAAAGCAATTTTTAGATAGGTTCACAGGTTTATATATCAGACCTTGCAGAAGCTTAAAGAATTGAAATGGGACCCCACCCAACAGCACCCACAATATTTTCCTGACTTTGCTGCTTCAGATTTTCATTTGTTCTTGTCTCTGTAGAACAATTTAAATGATAAAAAAATTTGACTTTTTACAATTAGTTGAAAACTACCTTATAACCTTCTTCCAACAAAAACTATTAAGTTTCTATGAAAATGGCATCAACAAACTTGTAGAACGACAGGAGACAGTTGTTAAAAACAATGGAGACTACGTACTTGGCTAATAATTTTTTTTTTTTTTGTATGTAAACTTTTGTTTTTAATTTTCTAATCTGGTACAAACTTTTGCAATGATCTAATATCCACACTTATATGAAGCTTGTGTATGACTATAATTATATAGAATCGAGCCATTTTCTTTCTCTCAGAAAGTCTTTCATCATATTCTCCTAACTTCAAAGTATAATTAATGAATTTATATTAACACTATTTTCAATGTTGTATTTAATTAATTATTTCCGAAAAGATTTAATTATATGACACGATCAATTTCTTTGCATGTAAAAGAAGTATCATTAATTATTTTTATTGAGGTATTGATTCCTGCACTCAGTTTCCATCCATAATTTATTTTCAGGATCAATCAGTTCACTTGAGAAAATAAGTTATTTTGTCGGTTACATAAATACTAGTTCACTTATGCTGTGTAAATTAATGAAACTTAAGCAAATGAATCTTTCAAGTCTTAAAGAAAACAATACTCCATCAGATCTTATATATTAGTTGTTTAACAGCATATCAACTCCATATGGGTCATTTAATGCCAAAATTTAATTTTTTTGCGAGTTTGAGTAATTTTTTCTTTTTTACAAAAATCTATTCCTTATAATTTTTTTCTTTATCAAAATCTGTTGCTGGTAATTTATTTTGTTTTAAATCTATACTTTCAATTTTATGACCACAATTTGGGATTTCACTATTTTCCCATAATTGGGACCCTAACAGCAGCTACTACACTGGGGTCAAGGTGAACTTGGGGACAACAGCAATTAAGAGGTGATTCCAAGCTCTTCAAAACCTCCTGATCAGAGGTCTTGCTGCTAGAAGTAGTTTATCGTCATACACAGGATGATATAAATTGGTACTGTAAAGTGCTTTACCAAATAACAAAAACCACAACACTTGAAGACTTCCAACAGCAGTAACAATTAAAATGGATAGCACATGTAGCAAAAAAGGAAAATAATGATATAATCAAAATGTTGAATTTCCACACTACCTTAAACAAAAGGTTAGGAGGGAAACCCTCATCAATATTAGAAAGAGTGATAATGGTAAACCTGAAAAATCTAATTTTCTGAAAAACTATTTTAAGAAAG